AAACTGAATTCAGGAGAAAGCTTTTGAACACAACGAGCCCTTTTGACATTCTGCTACTGAGCTTGTATCCCCTACATTCACATGTTCCAGAGTCTCAGAATAGGCAAACAGAAAATGTCTCTTCAACTTTTCTTCTACTGTATGTCTTAGAATTAAGAAGCCCTATTAGTGTGACACTGGGAGCTCCCTAGGCTTGGCGGGGTCACAGGTTCACTCTGTGGCTGCGGAGAGTAAGAGGGTACTGTTGAGTAGCAGAGGGTAGCTACCGTTCACTAATATCCCAGTTCTCTGAAGCTGCATGAAGGGAGTACAAAGGGGAAAGCAGCCAAAGAGCCAAGCTGCCGGTGCATTGTCTTACAAAATGTAAAGTGTTCCAGGACCCAAAGAGCCTGCCTGTACTGCGCAGCAGCAGAGCTCAATAAATCAAATCATTTGACACTCTCTCCTCTGCAGCCCTTGGCCTAGTCCAACTGGCATGAAACATACAAATAAATGAAGACCAAAGCTTTTCAGATCCCAAAGCAACAGTGCAAATCAGTAAACAAGCATCCTAACCACTAAAATGTTTATTTTTTACATTTTTAAAAGATAAAATAATTATTCTGCCTACTTCCAAGTGTGAGGAGAAATTCTGAGATTAGCCCCACTCTGTAGGGAGGTACATGTATCCTACAGGGTAGAGATATTTGGAACTAGATGGTTCTGAGGCAGCTGGAGCATCTACTGGGAGAGTCAGGGGAGGACAGGGTCCCAGGCCCCATCCAAACATTTCCTGTTTGTCTCCATCCAGCTCCAGGATGACTCACTTGACCCATCTCCAGATAACTCATGAGCAAAGAATAGCATCTCCTGGGTCGGGATAAGCTGAAAAGATGGGGAAATTATTTTTCAAAGCCTCTCTTAAACTGTGAAATGTGACTAGCTCTCTTTAAGTCTTAGGGAACAGTAAGTGCCTGGTTATAAAATCAAAAGCTCCTTATCCTTCAATGCTCAGCTGTACTGTTAACCACAGGGAAGCTGGTGGCTGGCCATAGTTGCCAAAGAATTCAGCCTGAGACATGTGCCAAACTGGTTTTTCACTTTATTGGGGATTTAAAATGGCAGAAGAGAGAACAAACTAATCACAGCAGCTGTCTAAGAAAACCAACCTTCAGAGTGGAAGTAAATGCAAACCCACTCTGGCAGCCCTGAAGCATGGCAACTCTCACCTTAGCTTGAATACGTGTTTCTTCTTTTTGTAATCAAGGGCCACTTCACAGACAGCTTCTTTCAAACTCACAGGGACCTCGCTGTGGTAGGGAATTCCAGAAGCAGCAGTCTTTGCATCTTTGTAGAAACCCATTTCTTGGTTATTTATGACACAATAAACATTGTGCCAGGACCTGAGCAGTTTAAAAAAAAAGGGCAGGGGAGATAAAGGCTCTACCACATTCCCCTTGAAGAACTAAACATTTCATTAACATGAAAATGATCCTCACACAACACAGTGTGATCCCGCCCAACCCTCAACCTTCCTTATTACAAGCCCTTCCTAAATTCTGCTAACACTAAACAACAGAAAAAATTTCTCCATGGAGAGTTCGGGGACAGGGCACAGGGCAGGTGTTTGAGGGCTACGTCTTCTCTTTTACTTTGGAGAAAAGCAAGTTACTCTCTTGTACTCTGAGCTCACTTTGATTGGTGTTTAGTACTCTCTGCTGTAGCGCCCTCTTATGGTCATGGGTTACAGGCCATGCTCCTTGTCTGAAATATGCCTGTCCTCCAGCAGCAGCTCCTCCAGCTGCAGGTTTATTACTTATGTGACTTGGCAACTTGACAGAAAGACAGACCCAGAGCCATCAGCACTTATGGTACCTTTGGGTGAATTAGAATAAAGTGGCTTTTCCCCTATGGTATGGCAAACTGCCCTAATATACTAATTTTAACAGAACACCGGCCTGTATTACACCAGCATGTATTAATATATAAATCCCTATGTTGTCCTCAATGCGAATGGCAGTTCTTAGATATTCTGATCGCCTTGCACAGCAAACAAACTGCACAATAAGACATGGTGGTCCCAGGTGGTTGGGTTTACTAGTTAAGCACATAGGCTTTGCAGTTTCCTATTCCAGCTTTGCCATTTACTAGGTTTCCACAGAAAGTGAGCTTTATTAACCGCTCAGAGCCTCTGGTTCCCCATCTGTTAAATAAAAAAATTGGGGCTGTTGAGAGACAATGAATATATATATATATAAAGGTTGATATGGAGATCAGGGCAGGGGAAATGGTGAATGGCTTTTTACAAAAAACCCACGAGGATTCCTAAATGAAATCATTCACTTAAGGTAAAGAAGACTCTTCAGTCTCAACCTAGCAAATTCCTTCTCCAGACAAACTACTAAAGCCCCGTCTAGCTACTCCCATCCAAACTCAACTCTTCCTTCTCTCAGTGAATAACCAGCATTCTACTCCTGCTTTCCAGCGTCAGCCCAAGAAGAATGCAATGTCCAGGAAGCTACCAAAGGAATAAAACTACATGAGCACATACTTCTCTTCCAATTCAAGAGTGGCCCACCTTATCCCTTCAGAGGCTGACTTCCCATCTTACTGTGGCAGGCTCTGCTGCTGTTACCTGCTTGAGGCTTTCTTATTGTGGGCCTCCCACTCGTGTTTCCGATTGAGGAAGCCTTCCATCTGGGCCGAAGGTGTCTCCTGGGTTCTGGCTGGTAAGGTGGCCGCACTCTGGGCTGGGAGGGCAGTCTTGGCTTTGCGATCAGAGGTCGGGGAGGGGATGGGGCTGGACTCTTTAGAGCTCGTTCTTTGTTCTGTAGCGCCGTTGACCATTTCACTTGTATCCACCGTTTCTGCCATCTAGGGACAGCGGAGAGGCCATTCAGCTAACTCCGTGAGCCATGGGGGTGACCACATACGCTCTACCTGACTCGCACATGTGGCTGTGTATAAATGCCTGGCAGAGATCGAGGCAGTACAGTAAAACCATTGCACACCCACAAAGCCAGCTGGACACCAAGGACATTAGAAGGTGGGAATGGATTAATACCCGCCCGTTTACAGGGAAATAAGAAAAGCGAAATGCCAGTATGAGTTTTACTGCACTCTATTCCTCTGATCAATAAATATAACTCAGATCATCTCCTCTTATGGTTACTTTAAAACAAAAAGACAACAGTAACAATCACACATATTAAATATGAAAGAGAGTGGACGTTATACAGCAGCCACCTTACGATCAAGGATGCCACCAGAAGGGCTGGAAGTTTAAGCGAAAGGGCATTCACAAACAGACCGATAGACAACTCTATCAGAGCTACATGGCATTCCCCCAGAGTAAGACAAGGAAAGACCTTGGTTCCTGAAAATGTTCTCTGGCTCTCCTCCCCCTCCCCTCAACACATTGTCATAAACACATGCAGAAATTAGGACGACAATCATGCATTTCACATCTACCATCCCAGTTAGACTTTGGAACTTAAGAGCTGGAAGGAAATGAGGCAAGTCAACAAACATCAATTTGACCACATCTGCCGAAGTTGTATCGTGAGTGGGTTGTAGTTTGTGTTAAAGGAGCTGGAAAAGCCAATCACAGTCACTCAACACCACACAGCTATTTACCCCCAAACAAAGACAGAACCAGGGCCTTCCCCATCACGGGTTGGTTGATCACGGTGCCTTGCTGCACTGAGACGAGAAAGCCCAGAGACAGCCAGGCTTCCAGCGGCTCTGACCCTTCAGGCTGGAGACGTCTTCGGGAGCGTTCCTTCCCAAGCTCATTTAAATTGTAACCCTCATGGCTTTTCGGCTTTGGAAATGTAGTAGGGTCTTGATTCATTATCATTTTCAGCCTGTGTACCATCAACTGTGTACCATTAACTGTAGCAGCCCCTGGCTGATACACCCAGGGTGTGCGATTAGCGAGTTACTAAAGCTGGGTGTGGCTGACACTTTAGTGGATTACAGACAACCTGCACCCCTCGTACACAGACAAACATGGAGAAGTCAATGGCACGCTCATTAGATACGTCGCCCACCACTGCTGCCCAGGACCAAAGTGACACCAAATTAGCAGTAACAACCTTGACGGGATAAATGGTAGACTGGCCACCACCATGTGAACACCTGGATCTATCAACTCTTGGGAACTGGATCTCTCACTTATTAGGTCTTATCTTAATGGCTGGGCCCAATGCTTGATTTTGAACAAAACTAATTTTTTGGGGGGAAAAGGGCTAAAAAAAGCTCTAGAAGGAGGGGGAATCACAAGTTTAAGTTATGTCTATGCAAACTATCATAATTAGCATCAGGGCTGAGGGAAGACTAGAAACTATACAGTTTAAGGGTGGTTTTGATTGGAACCCTTTACCCTCATGGCAATGTGGAAAATGGATTATTAGGACAAAAAGAGATGTGGGGGTGTGTGTGTGCACGAGTGCTGCATGATGATCACCCAGGCCTTGCAAGTGACAGACTGCAGATATGTGCTTATGAGCAACAGACTATTTAAACCATTCTCTCTCTTTTCACTTTTAAAGGAGAGGTGCAGGACGGGAAATACCCAAAAAACAAAACCCTCAGTCAAAACAATGTGAGTGGACTTTAAAGGTGATAAATCCTCTCTAGTGTGAGATTTCAGGAGACTTCTGGTGAGGAGGAAGTATGAGTTTGGTCTGGAAGGCCTGAGCCAGGTGTGAGTCCAGAGAGACATGGGGTTAGTATGTAGAGAAACCAGGTTAAAAAAAAATTTAGTGCTGCAGGTTTGACTTGAAAGCTGCTAGTGACAGCAATGACCTGGGTAGAGAGATGTTTCCTTAAAACAGCTAAAATTTATCATACTTGGTCAGACTGCAAGGTAGATGAAGGCCAGGGAAGCCTCTTCTGAGGATAATTCTGCAGCAAAAATTTTTTCTTTAGAGTTAGAAGGAAAGAGAAAACCCCAAACCAGTATGCAGAGATCATTAATGTTTATGCAAATGAATCACTAACCAAGAAAACAAGGAAAATAAAAGGAACAAAATGAATTTTAATGGACATGTGCTTTAAGCATGCCAACAGACAACACACCACTAGAGACACACATCAAAAGCAATCACAGTGCTATGATCAAATGATGGGTACATGTGAACACATCCCCTGCAACCCCACCCCACGTTGCTTCTCTTTAGCGATTAGTCCAGAGTGCTTTAGTGGCTGGGCACACCCGAGATACTTAAATCAGGAGGTGAACATAAATGCAACGTGACAACTAGTAGCACAGAAAACACCTGATTGGTTTTCAAAGTGCACAAAGCAATGCTATTTTCAAGTTCATTGAGTCTCTGCATCATCACTCAAAACAATAAAAATACTTTTTCTTCTTCTAATACAATCCAATTGTAATTAAAATTTTGTTATGACATGCTACATTAAAAAATCTAGATAAAAATAGGCATGATAGCAAATGCTAAAAGCATCATAGCACTCTTTTCTTGTGTGCTTATGTGGTTCCTTTTTTGGAGGGTCTTCTGGATACAAAAAGTGTCAAATTGGGTATCAGTCCTGGTGATACAAAATTTAAACACACACATATATATATGAAAACATCACATATATACATATAGATCAATGAAACACAAAATGTAATTTGGAGCCAGAAACACACATTAGAGCTCCCTAATGACCAAAGACAAAGCAGTTTTTTTTTCTAAAATGAATTTTGATGTGTTTTAAGGCAGAGACCCAATAATGATGCACACTACCCCCAGAACATAAGAAGCTTGGCATCTATCTATATACCCATCTACAGTCAGAAGTAGATAGATATGTACATAGAGATAAGGAAAAACAAACAAGATGCTATATGACGTTATCCTGACAAAAGAAAAAAAAAAAGACATGCATCATGAAATAAAAAGACAAATCAGACTTAACTCATGGAGAACACATATCAAAACAGGTTTCTGATTCCACTAACACATCTAAATATGGCAAAGGAGCAAAGTGAATGTCTCACAAGGCTTTGATGTATAATATGGATTTGGTTTTCTTTTTATCAGTACTAGGAAACCATCTCTGTCACCAGCTTTTATTTCTAAGGAAAAGGATTTTTGTGAAAACATTTTCAATTCATGCTGGTGTCCTGACAGATACCATCCGAAAAGCTTCCTTTATCAGATAATTCCACAAAAAGTCTTGAGGAAATGAACAATGAATCAGAAGACTAATCCAAGATGTAGAGTGGAGTTTGTCTACAGAGACACTGACATGACTTCTGAAGCCAGGGGGCATGCGAGCGCTCCCAGGCACGGTCCACCAAGTGCAACGTTCAAGTAATCAGGATGAACCACAATGGCTTCTGTTCCATTTGTTTGAAAAATTAAAACAGTTTGACACCCTGAAGTCATCGGCTGAATGGAGAGGCACGGAAGTCTGTGAGGCAGGCTTCTAAAACATGCTGAGAACCGCTGTCACCTGCTGTGTCCCAAGTGCCGCAGCACTGACAGGGAGCGAGACAGAGGTGGCGGCAGCAGTCAGTGGGCACTTTACTCCTGAGGCTGGCTGCAACATCTGTGCAAGGAAGCCTACAGTTTTCAATTCAGGAATTGGCAGAAAAAAAGTTAGAGAGGAACTGGTTTGTAAAAAGTAATAAATGACCCAAGGGTCTCAAAAGGTTTGAGATTGTGTGCCTACAATTAAAACAGCTTCCAGAATATATCCAACTCCCTTTTTGCCATCTTCAATGAATGAATGCATCTTTCATGGAATGTTACACAGCTGACTTTAGGTTTTAATCTTATTATAGAATGTCTCCCTCCTCATACACCAGTCTTCCTAGTTAATAGTAAACTACTACAGGTTAATAACATCTGGAAAGGGGGCTACATATAGCACAGTACTGTGTCCTGTTAGAATAACTGAATGTGTCATACCTGTTAGATTCTAGTTTTCTTCTTCATTATGCTGTAATCTCATTTAATTTCATTTCAATTACTCATGTAAGGGTTTCGCTGTAAAATCTTAATAAAGTAAAAAGCTCACAATAAATAAACAAAAAATAAGTATGGTGCTTTAAGGCAGCTGGGCATCCATCAGTTAAGAGACTCAAACATGAATTAAATGCAAACAAATATGAAACCAAGGAAGGCTATGAATTAAGTAAAAATTTTAACATTTTGGGTGAAGTGGAAGCCAAAAGGTCAAAACCCAGAGGATTTGGAAAGGCTGATTCTTGACAAATGGTAGTGAACTTCACAGTCCAGACCATGGCTGGTCACTGGCTGTCCGTCTGCTATTAAAGTTTTTGTAGTTTTGGTAGGTTTGAGAGCGGTAACTAACCCGTGGAGATCCCTGTTCAGCCGGCAAACCGTTTTGGGAAACTTGTTCTCCTTTTGCAGTATCCCTGTTAGGGAAGGGCGGGAAAAGAGGAGGAAGGGAAAGGAAGAAGAGGAGAAAGAGGAAATAGTAAGAGAGGGTGGGAGAACATCATCACTCAATTTTATTACAAGCAACCCTTTCACATAATGTAATTCTTTTTAAATCTGAAACTTCCAAGTGTTTTAAATAGACTCTAGATAGAAAATATGACTACAGGAATGCCCTATGCCCCGCCCCACCAAATAAAGGCAGCATTAGAGGTTGCCATGGAGCTCTTACCATAGCAAAATAATCAGCCCTTTGGAAATAGAGAATAATTGCTGCCCTCTGTGTGAAGTTACTTAGAACTTTCAAAAAAAGCATCACCACAAAATCACTGGCCTAAAATCTGGGCAGTTCACTCCATGCATTTAATCATATGGAAGTTCTGAGCATACTGTTTGTGTGCACACAGGATGAGAAAGGGCACTGTCTACATTCTACTTCTGCCACCTACATACCTATGTGACTGTGGACAGATCAGTGTCCTCCAAGATTATTTCGGGTAACTATACAGACTTTAAACAGTCTATGGAAGCAATGAGTAGGCAGGGCACGTGGTTAGGCCTAGAAATGCAAGGCTTCAGAAAGATGCCCCATAAACCTCATTGGCCACCGAGACTAAGGGCCCAGCCTCTGGAGCTGCTGGGACTCACCACTGCTGCTGGGACTCAGCTTCCTCTGAAACCTTCGTGCTCGGCTCGGGAGAAGGCGGCCGCCTCTTCCTCTCCTCTTCCTCTTGCTGTCTGCGCACTTCCAGTAACTCCAACTAAGAGAAAACAGAGTGATGTTTGGTAGAGTCCCAAACTCTGCCTCTTTGCAGAAAAAGGTTCTAGGAACCCAGGAAGTCCTCCTGTCTAGTTTGCTAAACTGGACCACACTGGACAAGAAGATGCTCTAACATTGTGAGCCAAATGGAATTAGGTTCACAGGAACTGCAGCTACAACCTAAAACTACAGGAAATGGTCTATTCCATGGGCTGGCAAAATTCCTGTGAGCTGTTTGTAGGACCCCTGGGAGCTTGGGTTTAATTTCTAAATTAACTATGCAACTCTCAACTCTGCTGAGGAGGAAAGTACCTGAGCCTGAGGGTTCATGCTGGACTCCCCAGGAGAGCTCAGACAAACACCAGGGACAGAGCTGCAATAATTCTCAAGGAAGCCGCTTGTGCTGTGGTGGGGATCTGCGTTCAGCCAAAACCCAAACAACACATTAAAAAGCCACAGAATAGTCTAACTGAAACAAAGCCATTTCATGAGTCATATGGATGCACCAGAAGTACTCTGTTTTAACACAAATGTATGCAGGTACATTTTAAATGCCCAGAACTGGAAATCAGAAACACCATTTTGTACACTGCAAAGGATCAGCTTTCTACAGGAAAGCAAAAGTCTTGGAAGAGGAAACACCAGTGCACAAATCCTATTCTAAGGCCTTTATGTTGACGGAAGAGAGGATCAGGAATGGGGACTTAACAACAGAATAGGATTAAGCTTCTATTTGATGGCAATTCTAATTCTGAAACTGAAGAAAATTTTGAGGCCATGCCACCTCGAGAACAAAGCTTTTTTGAGATAGGGGAGAATGAAAGATTTGGAGAAAAACACCACCACCACCAATCAATCCCCAGGCAGGAAGCTATTATAAGGGATCATAAATGCAGGTGCCCAGGATGTGACTGAGGAGGTAACAGTCCTGACCCTCTCCCTAGGTCCTGCTCCACAGGAGCCACCCATTTTAAGAAGATCTTCACTACTTGAAAAAACAAAAAACAAAAAACAAAAATGATCAACCGTGTGAATTCCCTGGTCTAAAAGGCAAGCAGGAAGAAAAAGTTGCCATGGCACCAACAGGCAAAGGGCCCAGTGGCCACTTACTGTAGTCAGCCTTTCCAGGGCAGAGAACCTCTCATCCCAGGTCGCTGCAGACTTTTCAAATGCCTCGTGGCGCTTGATGAGCTTCTCCACCTCGTCCACACTCTGGCCTATCTCTCGGCTGGACAGGTACGGCTCCTGGCCAAGCAGCCAGGCCTCGGCCACACTGGCGTCTCTTGAGAACTGATGGACCTCCAGAACTGCACAGGGTACCATGAGTTAGTACATGTTGACCAGGAGGTGATGGGGCAGCCATATGGCCTTATCTCTTGGCACTGCTGCCCTCTGGTGATGGCTACCTGCATAACCAGTCTATCATCTACTCTAAATTAGCCCTGTCCAATGTAAATGTAATGTGAGCCACACATGCAACTTTCACTTTTCCAGTAGCCACATTAAAAAGAGTAAAAATAAATAGGTGAAATTAACTTTGATAGTGTATTTCACATAATATGTATAAAATTATCATTATAACATGTAATCAATATGAAAAAAACTATTGAGATCTGTTACAATCTTTTTTCCTTCTAAATCTAAATCTGATGTGCATTTAATGGCACACATTCACTGCACATCTCAATTTGAGACATTTCAAGTTCTCAAGAGCCACACGTGGGACAGCAGCTATCATACCGCCCGGCGCAGGTCTACAGTGAACGCTCTGTTCACTCGGCCCCACTTCATGAGCTAAGCCTTCAGAGACCTGCATGAATTCACAATCTACACCTAGCCAGATGGGCAGGCATTCTTAACTTGCCCTCTTTTGGGCAGTAGTATTTTATTTTGGGGGTTTAGAGGGAGGGAAGGATATGGGAACACTACAGATGGTGGAGACCAAGGCTTTCGCTCTGTTTCATTCCGTTCCTCCACCTGTGAGGGAACACTAGGTTCCACCATAGTTATGAGAAGGTACGTTAGAACCGGGCTTTGTGCTATAGTTAACACTGATTTTCACTGCATTTCATGCAGCAAAGCCTGGGGTCACTGAGGTAAAAAATGGACTGTGGGAAGTGTTGGCGTCCCAAGGAGCTGGCTAGCTATCTGCTTTCAGCACCTTGGTAGCCCCCAACATGACTACCTGAAGAAGATGCCACCTCTGCACTAGGGACTTGTTGGCTTTTCAAGGCAGGTACTGTGCATGTCATCACTGTGTCCCTGGTATACAAGCTGGTGCCTGGTTCAGTGTGTAATGTGGGTTTTGCTGAGCTGAATGAAACTGCCCCACAATTCTCAAAACATACAGACCAAATCCTCCTGCAAAGAATGGTCAAAAAGTGGGATTTCTGAGGGCTCTGGGCCCAACAGAATGTGCTGTCACACCTTTCAGAAAAGGCCCTTGCATTTGGTTTCTAGTAAACACCCATAACACGCATAGATGGAGTCAGAACATCATGACAGAGCCCAGAACTCCAACACAGAATGGCAAAGCATGGTAAGCAATGCTTGAGTTGGGCTGTTAGTGCTCATACCAATTATGAAATGCTATACCTAATACTGTACATTACAAGCCCTGTATTAGCTCACATATTCCCTTATAAAATGAGAATTAAAAATAGAATCTAATTCACAGGGTTACTTTGGGGAATAAATACAGAAATACATTTAAAAACCACTTAGAACAATGCCTCGTTCACAGCAAAATTTTAATAGACGTTGGTTTTTATTTTATTATGTTATCAACATTCCACTAAGAGCACCAAATATGACTTAATGAGACCGACTTTCCACCTTGACTCTGAAGCAAGAATTCTTGAAGAAAAATGGCGGAGAGGGCCTCTATCTGTATTCTCCCAGGGAGGTACCAAATTGTCATCCCTAAAGAACATCCAATTCCCACCTATGACACTGAGATCAATCAAGGGGTGAAAAATGACTATGCCATAGGAAGATTCTTAAAAATAATATTTACCATGAAATGGTGAAACAGGGCACTAAAAAGGCATCTAAAACTCAAACAATCTTTAAGTGATAACATTAATGAATTAAAGCAGGAAAATAAACATGCATGCTTTCCACGGATACCCAAAAGAGCAGAAAGATAAACAAAGTACGTCCTTACTCAGTCTTAACCATTCCCATCGGTCTTCCCACTTGTCGATCATTTCTTTCCTCTTTTCCGTCAACTGCAGTAATTTTTCCTTGATCTGTATGAAAAAGATAATCCCCGGGACATCTTAATGGACTGCACCACATCCTCTTGATGGGATCATTTTATACTAGAAAAATACATTTTCTGCAAAGACCACTATTAAGCTGGGAGATATCTAAGGACTGCTCAGTCTGTCTGAGGACTGGGAGAGGAAAGAAAAGCATAGCACTGTTCCTTCCAGAAGCGGCAGGAGGAAGGTGGGGAAGCCCTGCCAAAGCTGTTTTGTTGTGAGGAGGTTCCCTGCAGCAAACACGTTCAGGAAAGGGACAGCAAGAGGGACAAAGCCCTGACCTCTTGGAGAGGACGCCCATTCCCATTCAGGGGGCCACACACACAACTAATAATTGACCTCTTTATTACCACTGTCCTAACCAGAATCACCAACCATGCACTCAACAGCAAACTGATCTAGGGCATAGTCAATGGACATTGGCATCATCTAAAAGAGTACTGACTGGGGAGGAAGGGGAGTCCATTTTGCAGCCCTCAAAAATTGTCTTCTGTGCCACAGATTTACCAGCGTGGGCCTGGAGTCTTGCATAATTGTATTATTCTAGATGCACAGGAAAGGAGTTTTAAAACATACGTGTGCGTATATGAATGTAAACACATTATCTCTGACACACACACACACATATAAAACAAAGTCATTTTACATCTTGACACCAGCTGCATTTATCCTGCAGCTCCAAAGCAAAGTAGCACCCTACCTCCTCAGATGCATAGTGTTTTCTTGCCAACAGGGATTTCCCAAGTTCAATGCAGGTTGTGAAACTGTCATTACGTGCATCAATTTCAGCTTTGATGCCTTGATGATTATTCATTAAGAGTTCAACAGATGATACATCCCTAAAATTACACAAACGATGCTTCCGTTAGATAAAACTTTTCAAAAAATCTGTAGGTTTTAAAACACACAATTAATTTGAAAGAAACTGATGGTCTTTCAGGTCTGAATCACTCACTGAGCTTAGGTTGGGCCACTGGAGCCAAAGCACAGTGACAGCACAGTTCAGGACCAGCCAGGCAACCAAACTTCAGAATATGGCTGCTTTTGTTTTTGTGTGTCTGCCTGAATAATTCAAAATGTTTGCCAGGTGGGTGCCAGAAAAAGCAATGGTTTTCTGTTCATACTTTTCCTTTGAAATGCAAGTCAGAAAGACTCTTTTCTAGAAAGCAGAGAAGCAGTAACAGGTGCCCCAATTGCACCTTGATGAGTTAGCTGTCAAAGATTCAGGATATGCATATCAAAGAGCAGCTAATACGGTCTCCTTATTGAGACACAAAAAGATACACAGGATGGGAACTAGCCTAGAAAGCAGTGACCAGCATGGATCAAAACCTACTGATTCTGATCAAGGAAATACAACTGCTTCAAAAATATATATCATAAAAAATCCCTTTTATTGCGGCATAGTTTCTCAATTACAGTGGGGGCTGGAGTTGGCAGAGGGGTGAACTGGAGGTTAAATATGTACCTCTGTGTTCCACTGTTAACTTCTCTTCACTAATTTGCATGAAACGAAGCCAAATATAGGACAAATATTAAATAATAACCCAAGGACACCATATTAAAGCAGATGCTCAGGGTGACACCTTTAGTAAAGTGCATGGAAAGGGATAGAGTGGTTTTTAATCCAAAAAACAGGCACAGAAAAATAACTCAGAAAAGTCATCTCATTGCAAAGACAGGGCAGTTAGTCATGCTCAAGGTATGTGGCTACTTGAAGCACAAGGTCCTACTTCAAGCACAGATGTGGGCAAGAGGGCCTGAGTGACTGTGGGACATGGGAGCCAGGAGTAGGGAGAATGGGAGAGGCTTTGGTAACCCCAGGCACCCCCATTCCCTGGTGATGCTGTGCACGAGGTAACCAAAGCAGTGGTGCTGCACTCCAAGCACCTCCCCACCCCCTCTCTGGCCTTGAAGCTCTCACTCAGGCAGGAACTGCTCTCAAGGCTCCTGCTTCTCTCTGGAAGATTCCTACGTTTTAACCAAGGGCCAATGAGTCCAATTTCCTTTGGGCTGAAAGCATTACCTTGGCTTCTCCTGGGCCTCGATCTGCCGGATGACATCCTCCATCCAGAGCATGAGGTCACGCACCATGCTGAAGAAGCGGAACTTGTCCCCCGTGTCCACCAGCCGCACCCTGCGGCTCTCGCAGGCGTCCAACAGGGACTTCCAGGCTTCCAGGACCTCGTTCTCGCGCTTCTGGATGTCGTCAGCCTTGTCACCCGCATAGGCCGCCTGGAGGCGGGCTGCATCCTCCTGCAGCTGCCTCACCTGTGAAGCCATGTGGGGGATAAGCCAGGTCAGTCCATGGTGGCCTTCCCACCATCACCCTCTTCCATTCTGCTCACACACTAAAGGGAGCACAGAGTCAAAACATGGCCCATGCCCCTTAAGGAGCCCTCAATTTCACTGGGGAGATCCAACTCACAAAAACCCAAGTTTTATATAAATCTGTTCAACTACATTATTAAGTTCTTTATGAATGATAAAACAAATGAAATGCTACAGGAAGACAGGCAGGAGAGTTTAGTCAGGGAACGTCCCCTGGAGGCAGCCTGGGATATCTGAGTGGGACATATTCAGATATAGTCCAAGAAATAAATACCTAATCTGCTATCTCATGGTAAAGATAAAAGTTTTTATGATGAATGGGAAACTGCCATGAAGAGCACATTTTGAAAACGACTTCCCATTGCTATGTGAATACAATGTATGTATCACCTGTAAGAGTTCTCACCATGGGACATTTACACTCAAAAAGTATAAAAACGTGGCATCCTATGTGGTTAAAATAACTAATTAATGTTAAAGAAGGTGAAGCCTGAAATAGCCACATTTCAACAAAAACCTTGCAAATCTAAAAATACGCATTAAGAATTGTGATGTGGTAAATGGAGCCAATGATGCACTCCTACTTACATCTACATATTTTGGTTATTTTTTTCAGCTATGACAGTCATCAAACAAAAAAAAAAAAAAAGAAAAGAAAAGAAAAAAAAAGAAAAAACCAACAAACCAACACAGAAACTGGCATGAAGAAAACATTCAGAGAGCAGGAAATGCAAATGGGTCTTAAACATGAAGAGATGCTTCATGGAGATACTGTAATGTGTCATCTATTAGTTGGCAAAAATCCAAGTGCGATGACATATTTGTCAGTGAACTCATTCTCTGTAGACAGGAGTGTAACCGACTACAGTTTCTACAGAAGGTAAATGGGCAGTACCCATGAAAATGATAAATGCGGTACTTTCTGATTTTATGATCCTACTTTGGGGAACTGATCCTACATATATATTCTTGTATATTTAGGAAATGAAATATGCATAGATTATTTACTGCAGCAGTATATGTAAAAGCAAAAGACTGAAAATAAAGTGACCATCAGTGAATGACTGGTTAAATTAATGATGGTGCATCCAGCAGGAGACTCCTGCTCAGTCATGAAAAAGAATGAGGAAGGGCTTCTATGTAGTCACACAAAAAGCACTCCAAGATGACAACTAACTGGAATAAACAGTACAGACAACGTGCATAATATTTTTCCTCTGTAAAAACAAAAATAAGAATATACTCTTACCTTTTTTTGGGGAGCAGTATATGTCTTTAAAACTGAAGCTAGTAAGTGCGGCTAATTTTATAGTTAAATTTTCTCCTCTTAAATGTCTTATATAAAGTATGTAACACTAGTAGTGCCATACTTGTGTACAATGCCTCATTAAAGACATACATATATAGGGAAATGGACACCCAATCATCATGTACTGATAAAGCTGTGTGATCAAAGAAGTCTGTAGACAACTGTCCTGGATGATGAGAACTTTTAGATGTCTATGACAGTAGTACATGGAGAAATGCTAAGTGGGGTAAAAGGGGGTAGGGATGGGCAGCACTAGGGCTTGTGGGGAGGTGGATTACTGACCCTCGATTGCACAGAAGCACTTTAGGTGATAATAGGTTTTAAAAAAAAAAAAAAAAGCAGTTTCTGCAAAAGATGCAAAAAAGAACCAACAGGCTCTGGTTTCCAGTGTGATTTGATTTCCATATCCTAAAGGATTTTTGGAAATATTCTTTGATTATGGCTCAGTTTTAACTCAAATTACAATGAACAAATTCCCAGGAAATTACTTGAAAAGCTAATTTTCCTACACGATGAACCACATTTTTCAAAACACCTGTTTCCGTGTCTCTGGCCGTTTTCAATTTGCTGACAATAAAATGTAAGGTAAAAGAGGACAGCAAAAGTGAAAATTTCCACAAATATGAACTATTGCTTTGCATAACCACTCAAGACCTCCATCAGTGCTATGTGTCACTCCCACAGCTCCCGTGCAGAATGGAGACAGTGGCAGGAGAAGCTGGCACAAAAGGAAACAACCAAAGAGGAAGCACCACATGCTCCTGGGAGCTTGCACCAAGAGCCTTCCCTTCTGCTGTTATTCTGTGAAAAGAAACCCAGATCAGGTCAATACCTGCAGTAGGACACACATCCTTTTCACTGCTATAAACATCATAGCCCAGTGGGTATGGCGAGGTGCAGACTATCAGACTCGAGGGACTAGATTCCTACCCTGGATGTTCCGAGACCCTTCTTGGGCTTCCTCATCTCTAAGTCTAATGAGGCGAAGGCATTTTTTTTTTTTTGAGACGGAGTCTCGCTCTGCCGCCCAGGCTGGAGTGCAGTGGCCGGATCTCAGCTCACTGCAAGCTCCGCCTCCCGGGTTCACGCCATTCTCCTGCCTCAGCCTCCCAAGTAGTTGGGACTACAGGCGCCCGCCACCGCGCCCAGCTAGTTTTTTGTATTTTTTAGTAGAGACGGGGTTTCACCGTGTTAGCCAGGATGGTCTCGATCTCCTGACCTCGTGATCCGCCCGTCTCGGCCTCCCAAAGTGCTGGGATTACAGGCTTGAGCCACCGCGCCCGGCCAATATACTCTTAACAACAAGAACCCCTGACATAATCAGGGATAACATCTTAAATAAAATTGGCTTCTTCTCTAGGGCCATGAAACTTAGAAGAAAAAAAACTACATTTGTTTTTCAATTAAAAGGCAGAAGACCAAACAAGAAACTGTGCAGAGATCAGAAAGAAAACTAGAGAGTGATTACACTAGATTCTGTTATATTGTTACTACTTTGTCAAACATCTTTTAAACAAAGTCTTAGTTCCAGTCATTTTATACTGGGGATGAGGCACGCAGAATCCTGTTCTTTCTTTTTCTAGACATGTAACTTAGAACCTGATTGATGAAAAATAGTAAGGTATTATTTTGGAAATTGTTCTGGATGGATATGCTAACATAGTAAAAACACTTGCTGAGGCCTATAACTTGCAAATGTTTGTGTATGCATCTGCTGTATTTATTTTAACCATGGGGGCACTCATCTAATGTTCGCAAATGTGGCAAACGCAGACCTTTAGGGACTGATACGTTTTCCCAAATGGAGCACTATTACAAAGTGGGTACATGTATGTGCTTAATTGGGGCAATTATTTTGAGGAGCCAAGGAACAGGGAGATACTTACAAATGCCCAAAGACGTTCTATGGAGAAAAAGCCTCCCCAGCACCCCTGGGTGGCTGCCCTACCCACCTGTGTGCCCAGAGCCTGGATGTCATGCTCAAATGTAGTGTGCATTCTCTGTAAGGTCTCCACTGTGTTCTGATCTCTCCCAAGCTCCTCAGGGAGTTTCTTGTGTTTGTCCTGTATACGCCCAAAGATCTCCTTGGCATCGTGGTAAAACTTGTGCAGTTCATAGGAAGCGGCAAGAATCTGTGTTCTTGTGTCAATGAGCTCCAGGAGGTCGGCCCAGGCTTCATTGAGGCCGTCCTTCCATTCAGCAATGGTGGCGGCATCTGAATGTCCAGAGTTGATGAGCTCATCTGCCATGTGATTGACCGTGTCCACACGTTCCTGTCCAATGTTCCCGGTGTCTCGGGCAAATTCCCGGAATCGTTCTTGTAACATCTGAAACAGGGATGGGTAAGGAAATCAGTGAGAGCACTGTGAACTCTGTATTTCTTGATCACATGAATACCCCTTGGAAAGAAATTGCCTCTAAGCAAGATGTAACCAATAATACTCAAGACTTAAGAACAACAGATCTTAGCTCGAGAATGTCTTAGCAACTGGGTTTCCTTCTTGCTCACTGCAGCAGAGTGAGGCACTACCTCCACCTCCTTTTACTACTGGCGGAAGGGGTGCACAGAGAGGTTAGCCAACCTAAATGCAAGTCACCTGCTTAAAAAAGAAACACCACCTTAAAACTAAACCCCAAGACCTCTGATTGGAGTCCAGGGCATTTCATCTGCTCACAGATAAGGAATGCAAATGGCCTTCCACACCATCGCTCACTGCACAGCCAACTCATGCACTGCCTCAAGTACTTGCCGTGACATGCTCATAGTCCTGTCCCAGTTCATGGGACCCTGCGACCACCTCCCTCTCAGCGATCCACTGCTCCAGGTCGTCCACCTCCCGGTTGAGCTGGAATAATCTGTGTCTCTCATCCAGCTTGCCTCTTCTCTCTTCAGCAAGGTCTTTCAGACCAGCGTACAGTTTATCCACTTTGGATTGCCGCATGCTAATGCGCTCACTAAAAAAGAAAGGAAGCAATGGGGAGAAAAAGAATCTTAAATGTCAATTTTCTTCAGGGGAAAAACAAATGAGGTGGAGATAATGGGAGAACATATTACATCATATTTCTCAAAGGAAACTCTGGTTAACCTACTAAGCATGAAAAATAAAACTCTGAAATTGGCCACAATTTGAAGTCACGAAAAGCCAATATGTAAACAAAAGAGCCAATGTGTAAGCTAAATTCGCCTACCCCTACTATTACACTAGGGATGGGTAGGGCCTCACTCTGCTGCAGTGAATAGTGGGGGTAGGCAAATTTAGCAGGGAGAGGAGGAAATTCTCTCTGCACCTCTGGCTCTGCAAATCAGGATTTCCTTTGACGTTAAAAGTTAATGCAAAAATCTTCCCAGTCAGGAAGGTGGCAAAAGAAAAACTAAGTTAATGTGAAATCCAGAGCAGTCTTGCATTCTCTGGTACTGTGCTACCAGAGGGACAAATGACACAGCCAGTGTGGCACGCACGGCCCTCTACCTTCCCTGGGCTGAGTGCCCATCCTTGTTAGGAGGGCTGGACCAGCTGCTCCATCTCATGAGTCCCAGGTGCTCAGTCAGGAGACTGAATCCCCCTCCCTCCAACTTCCCCCCAGAGTGATGAATCCTGATCATGAACATCTTAAGAACCTCCTACACCAACAGAGCCACTGACCTCATCTCCCCTAACCTGCCCTGGTTAAATGCACAAGGCCAATTCCTTTCCAAATCATAAAAGGTATTTACACAAAAAGCCTAAAATGACTGCTTTGGAAGTTAATACAGGGGCCTGGTATAGAGTGGATGAGTACTACACACTCACTTCTTTTTTTTTTTTCCTCGAGGGTGTTCTAATCACTTGATATCTAAGAGTTAGGAGGTGTTTTCATTTTGTTCTTCCTGGGAGCCCCTTCATTTTATAGGTCCATGCATTCTTGTCTAATGCTCCTCTTAAAACTAGTAATTACTTCCCTAAACTGGATGACTTTTTCAACCCAAGGGTAAGTGCTATGACTATCTGTATCCACCATGCAAGTCAACCTGTACTTCTGATCATTTTTATTTTTTTGAGACAAGGTCTCACTCTGTCACCCAGGCTGGAGCGCAGCAGTGTGATCATGGTTCACTGTGGCCTCAAACTCCTGGACTCAAACCATCCTCCCAATCTCAGCCTCCTGAGTAGCTTAGTACAGATGTGTGCCACAATACCCAGCTGTTTTTCGTATGTTTTGTAGAGATGAGGTTTCGCCACATTGCTGAGATTGGTCTTTGGCCCCCGGGCTCAAGCAATCCTCCCACCTTGGCTTGCTAAAGTGCTGGGATTACAAGTCTAAGCCACTGTACGTTGACTGCCTAGCCTAGTCAACCTGTACTTTTGACTCATGACACCAATACTCTTTCAGGAGACCCTTGGCTAGAAGGAGATATTTAACCCACAAGAGCAATTTCCTAGTGTAACAGTTCACCCATCCTAATCATGATAGGATGTTTTAAATGATGGGACTGTTTTAAAAATGCTTCTCAAAGATTTGCCTTACCAGCAATTCATGATGAATGCTGCCATTTTCTTTTGGTGGGGGTTAGCAAGAGACCCTCACTGAGAGGAATCGACAGCTGGGTCTCAACCTCATGAAGCAGCACTCACCTTTCAGGATGGCTGTCGGCCACCAGGGCCCGGCTGGTCTTGGAGAGCTGATGCACAGTCTCTGCATAGTCCTCCACAGCTTGTTCTAAGATCTGGTGCTTCTTCAACATGGAGACAGCACTCTGCTCATCCTGCAAAGACAGTAAAACGTCACAACCACAGCTGTCCCCTCCGGCCCTACACCACCTTAAGGAGCGACAGACCAGCTGCTCAGCAGGGTAGGAGGAAGGATCAGTAGAAAGAGAAACTCCAGAGGTACGGTATGGACAGTGGAACACAGAAGTGTTCCAAGAGCTTTCATATGGACTGGACCACAGAAGCCTGTGCAGAAGATAAACACAAGGAGGACACAGAATGAGCAGGGCCCCTCTCAGAGAAAAGCTTGGGCAGACCAAGTGTGCCTGGTTCACTGGAATTCCTCAAGGTCCATCAGTTATGTAAATGACAGCATTCCGGGAACCTTGCAATACTTTCAAATTGTCTCCAAGCCATCCTGTATTTTGTAAAGTTTAGGGAACCTATAAATAGATAGCAGGAAGGACTCTGGCATATTTCAAAGATGAAGGGATGAACCTGGTCTTAATGGCACACTAGGGTTCAGATAAGAAAATGCTGCAGCAAAGGGAAACCAGCAGCTGGACTTCAGACACCTTCATGCACATGGTGTCCCCTTAACACTCAAAGGCTACAAGGGAAGTTTTTATGAAGACAGAGCCGCCAGCAGAAAGCAAGCTCAGGGTTTAAATCCAAGGTTCACCTGGGGCAGGGATGCTTCCCGCCTCCTCTCACCTTGGCCTTCTCCTCTGACATCATGTACAGCTCCTGCTCGCTCATCCAGGCTTCGGCCTCGGCAGCGTCAAAGTAGTACTGCTGGGCCCGGTGTGCCTCCTCCAGCCGCCTGTGGCGTTTCTCCGTCTCCTCAATGAGGAGACCCCACAGCTGCTTCAGGTCGGCAAGCCTCTGTCTGATGGCCTCAGCGTTGAGGCTGCTGCTGTCGGTGACGATGTTTTGGCTCCTCTCAAAGATGTCATCAATGCGAGGCTGGTGTCCCTGGATTTCTTTCTGGAGGGTCTGGAGGGAGTAGACAACACACACAAAGGCTTGCTAAATGGCAACCGTCTGGTGCTTATGTCAAGCTGTTAGGGCCAAAAAGAAATCGCAAGGCTTCAAAACTCTCTGCCATTCTCAGTCTCATAATTTAGAGCAATTATTTATCAGACAGAGATGGCCCGAGCAGAAAGGCTTACCTGATTTTTCTTTATTAACAGCTGCACAGTCTGGAGGTTGTGGCCATGATCCGTGGAAGTTGCCAAAGGCATCCTCTCTCCAACCCACAACTGGGAAAAATTGTAAATAAGTGGTCAGATCCACTCAGAGGAACAAATACACAACAGAAACAAGAGCGGTGAGGGGCAGTGAGGGACAGCAAGGATGAGCTTCAGAGAGTGCTCAGCCCCCTCGGGAGGGCTGTCTGGGGAAGCATGCCCTTGTTCTCCGAGACAGGGGTAGGGAGAGTATTTCCAACTTTACCTCATCCTCAAGATCAGACTCACTGTGAGTCCTCATTACTTTTAAAAAGTCTGTTTTAGGGCCATTAAAATCCTAGAGTATCCCTAGATAACATGAGAGGCACAATGGAGTTGCACTTAGTGTGAAAAGGGAAAGAAACTTTAGACCATCCAGAGCGTGGACTCTGACAGCTCAACTTGCCAACGTGGCCCAAGGTGAGGTTGACTGAGAAGTGAGAACATGGGCTTTAGGACAGGCAAGGGGGCTTGTGGAAAAGCCATGTGTGCAGCCGGGGTTGACTCACGATCTCGTCCTCCACATCCCTGTTGAACTGATGGATCTCTTTGGAGGCCAGCAGGTTATGCTTCCTCTCGTTCAAGGGCTCCAGCAACTCCATGAACTTGGTCTGCACGGTGAGGCGCTTGCTGTCCACCTCGTCGGTGCTCTTCCCTTCCTGACTCAGGGCCTGGGCTTGGCTTTGGAGCTCTTCGATCTCCTTCTTCCGCACTTCCATCTGATTCTCCAGCATCTGAAGGCAAAGAAGCAGCCTCAGCGCTCAGCAGAGACTACTTTTGCAGTGACTGGCTCTAAGCAGAACTGCTGGGCCAGGGACTTGGCCACACTGCAAAGCCAGCAATGGGAGCCACTGGAAGATTTTGCCACTGATTAGCTTTTTCAACATCAATGGAACTGTTTTCAAGTAAATTTGAGGTAAATTCATTTGCCCTTAAAGCCCTCTACAGTGATGTAATATAAACAGTTACTTTTATTATCTATAAAGTGCCTTGAACAACTCAGATAACTGTCACAAATCAAGATGTTAAACAACAAAGTATGTGAATATTTCTTTAATGTAAAATGCAGAATTGAGTGAGATGAGTATTTATTTAACTGTTAAATAGCGATAACACCTATTAACTAAGAAAATTATCAATCCCATACACAGACAGCCGACACCCAATACTCCTAATACTGTGTCTTTCTAGGCTGGACAGGTAGCTTTCTATTCTGGAAATGTTGTATGATGCTGTTAGAGCAAGTACTTTTCTGGGTTACAAATGCCTTCCCATGGAAGGTGGACTCCTGAGAATGCAGTGAGTAAGAAAAGACTGTAAGGACTACGGCTGTAAAACAGAAACAAACCCAAGTCCATGATGGCTTGTCCACTTGCCTGTTGCTTTTTCAGCAGGATATTGACGCTGGTCAGGTCTTTGCCGTAGTCATCAGACTGAATCTGACTCTCCAGGCCGTGCAGCCATTTGTCTAGATCTGCGCAGCTCTGGGTGAAAAGTTCGGCCTTGTTTGCATCAAAGAGCCGCTGGGCCTTGGTCTGGGTAGTAGATTCAAGGACTTCCCACATTTCATGTAAACCAGTGAGTTTCTCCTTCACCACAGGTTCCGTCTCAGGCTTTTCTGAAATGAGCTGCATTCCTTCCTGGAAAACAAAACCAGCATGGTTGTAAATAAACAGTTTGCTACAGAAAAAATGTCACTGTGAAAAACAAACCTAGGACATTTGATCTGTGATTTACCCACTCATTCAACACACACAGTATTTCCACATGAAGTTACTGCTCAATAAAATCAACAATGGCCTAGCTTGCATACATTACATGGGTTTCATGGGAATGAAGCAATAAATGCTAAATGCTGAAACAGTTTCAACTGAGGCAATGGAAAAATGAATGCTAATAACCTGACTTCATCCCCTCTACTCCATGACCAAAGATGATATAAAACACATTATTACTATTGTTATTATTTTGAGACAGGGTCTTGTTCTGTCACCCAGGCTGAAGTACAGTGGCGTGATCTTAGCTCACTGCAACCTCTGCCTCCTGGGCTCATGCCTCAGCCTCCCCAATAGCTGGGATTACAGGCGCACACCACCAGGCCTGGCTATTTTTGTACGTTTCATAGAGATGGGGTTTCCCCATGTTGGCCAAGCTTGTCTCAAACTCCTGGCCTCAAGTAATTCACCTGCCTTGGCCTCTCAAAGTGCTGGGATTACAGGCGTGAGCCACCATGCTCCGCCAACACATTATTTTAACCATGAAGAATCTGAAACAATTTAAAAAGTCTAAAAGGAGAGAAGGGAGGGGTGGGGAACTCCACGTTCATCTTCAGTTATGCTGCACGGAATCTCTGTGCCAGAATTACAAGTTATAATAATTATTATAGTGCCTGGTATACAGTAGTCTCACAGGAAAAAGGAATTTTAAAAAATATGTATATATTTAAAATTATGTGCAATCTGTCACAGTGCAACACAAATAATATGATCAAGATAGGGGAATCCCTGCATGAGAGCTCACAGTCCATCAGCAACAGCAGATGAGAGGCACGATAGAAACTAAATGCCTAATATTCGTTCTAAGATAAATCAAGCATTTTCTACTATCTGGTTGGGTTTCTGTTTTTTTCCCTTTTGATGGGTTGAATTCAGGAACCCGTAAGTGCAAAGAGAGCTGCTATTACTGGCTGTGTAACTTACGTAAATGTACAGATAAGACTCAGATGTTTTGGAAAATGTGCTAAATAAAAGGGAGGTTATTACTACCCTGTTTGTTTTCTCACCATGGCCACATCAAATGTTTTAACTCACCTTCTCGATTTTGTCAAGCCATTCTTTGTTGGATGCAAGTTCTGCCATAAATGCTTGATGCTTCAACCATTTACTGTGCAGATTTCTGGCTTCATCGTAAGACATGTCCTGGGCCGTGAGCATCTTCTCATTGATCCAGAGAGACAGCTAGGGAAAGATCAGAAGGATTCAGCGATTGTGATCCTAGACATCAGCCTTTTTTCCGCCTGCAATGGGTTGTGTTTATGTCATATTATGCATACTACACACATTTCCATGGTGACAGACAGCCAAATATTTAACTTCACAACTCCGACCCGTCATGACAGGTGTCCATTAGATGGAGCTTGTACCTGAGCTCTGCTCCAAACTATATCTAACATTCATTCCAGAAGTACAAAAGCTCTATAAGCCAGCTTTCAAACTGTTTGGCACTCAAAACTGGCTTTCCCCACAAAAGGCCCGTGTTTAAAATTCTGCCCTGACCAGTCCAAGACACGACCCTTTTTCTCTTCCAAATACCTGTGTCAGCTATACCATGTTAATCATGATTGACTTTTACCCCATTTGGCAATCCTTCTAACTCTTTTAGTTCTTTTTTATTTAAAAAAACAAAACAAAAACTGCTTATTTGTAACCTCCTCCTTTTTGCGGGTGCATCGAAGGGAATGCCAAAAGGCATAAATAACTTGCTCACTGTAGGGCTAAGGCAACAATGATGCCCTTTCAATGTTTCCTTCAAGTTTGAGTCACCTTCACCTCTTTTTCTATAGCCTCAAGTTCTCTAAAAACCTTTCATTCACACCAAGAACACTTCACAGGACTTGATTTTGAGACCCAACATGTCCGCTTGGATCTGAACTCTGGAGAGCCACACAAAGGCTGCCGGCCGCTGACAGACCTGAGAAAGGAGCTGTCTTACTGGGGTCAGCCAAACGCCAGGCCCAGACCCACTTTTCCTGGCTTCCATCCGGAATCGGCCCTGGCTCATTACTGCCTGCCTGTAAGGGCCATGCCAGAGTTCTGATTCCCACCCCATTTGCTGTGCTAACCTAGGAAAAGCTTTTTTTTTTGCCCAGGCTGAAGATACACAAAAGAATGCAGAGCCAGCCTGGAATTAGAAGCAACCAACTGAAGGGACCATATCTCTTCTCCTGAGTGACCGTGAGAAGCCCACTTTTATACCAGTTATTGTCACAGCAAATTGGCACCTTAAATCCTTCATGGATCTATCAACAAAGATCTAGAAGTGGCACATAAAACCAGTAGAAGTACTTACAGAATTAACATTTCCAAGGCCCTTCCACTCCCGCTGTGGGCTGCTGCCAGGAAAGGCCCCCCCAGAGATTTGTTTTTTGGAAATGATGTCAAGGATAGTGATGTGGGTCACAGGAGCCCCCGACTCTGAAAGTGGGTGAACTCTTGGGTACTGTCCTTACCTTTCTCGGGCTACTCACCACGCAGGGAATGGCACAGGGGCCAGAGGGTGGGAGGGGGTTAAAAGCAAAAGGTAGTGAGATTTTTGATGTCACTCTTGGTTGAGGGAAAAACTAGCAAATCTCATAAAGCCCTTTGTCATCAAAGACAATGGATGTATTACACAATAAAGGCACTGCACTTCCTACTTTGAAATAATTATCTATGTTCCAGTTTTCTGGGCAGCTAAATCTGAAAGACTATGGCCATTCAATCTTAGGGGAAAAGAGGTTAAAGGGAAACTGAATGACAAAATGTTTCCCTGTGTTCTGTACATACACACAAAATAGAAGGCGTTTATCGATTCCAAGTGCCAAGGACATTCACATATTTTCACTATTCATAACCACCTATCGAAGAGGGATTAAAAAGAGAGAGAGGGAGCGCTACATAAAAATCAGAGGCTTATAAACAAATCTGCTCTTTGCTGAACACATCATCCTACAGATAAAGCATCATGCGATACAGCACAATGAAATGGATCTATGGAACTTGCTAGTTCATCAGCATTCTGGAGCCAGAGCTACAGTTATTATTTGTGGGCATTTACAAAGGTCATTTAAGAATTTACTCATTCTCTGCAGAAAAGAACACTGTGCAGATTGGAAAAAGATAAGGAAAAAATACTTTGATCATTGAATTAAGCTAACAGCAAAGGATTAACTCACATCCCTGTACCAGACACATGTAGACATACTGCCTGCCTTCCTGGAAAAATAAAAATCAGTTCCAGAAAATAGGTGGTATAGCGTGAGGAAATACAACAAAAAAAGGAACACCTTTAAAATCATTCATTCATTTTTCAGGACATCACATTAAAATAACACTACAGGCCAGGTGCGGTGGCTCACGCCTGTAATCCCAGCACTTCAGGAGGCCAAGGAGGGTGGATCACTTGAGGCCAGGAGTTCAAGACCAGCCTGGCCAAGAGGGTGAACCCTCATCTCTACTAAAAATACAAAAACTAGCTGGGTGTGGTGGCACGTGCCTGGAATCCCAGCTATTCGGAAGGCTGAGGTAGGAGACTCGCTTGAACCCGGGAGGTGGGGGCTGTAGTGAGCCGAGATCCCACCACTGCACTCCCGCCTGAGCAACAGAGAGAGACCCTGTCTCAAAACAAAACAAAAACACTACAAAGATGATGATGGTCTCTATCTTCCCACTGTAACTGGGAATAGGAGGGTCCCTGCTCATTCCAGCATACTGTATATGCCAGCATACTGTATTGCTGGTATAACAGTTGTCCTCATCTAGGCGATGTTTATGCGGGTGGCAACAGGGGTGGATCTTACAACCCACACCTTCTCTAGCCAAGGCACCCAACAAGGAAGGAAGCCGAAAAAAGAGACAAACCCCTGGATTCCCCATATCTTGAACAATACCAACATCCTGTAATAATAATAAATTTGACCTCTGAGTGCTCTGTAAATATCTACCAGAATGACAGGTAGATTATCAAATGTAGGGCTGGTCCACACACAAACACCATTCTCAAAAGATTCTGGCTTAAAAGGGGTATATTTTAATAAGGCTGAATGATGGGAAAATTTATAGCCAATGACTGTATCACCCTTTTGATTATAGTACTATACCAAGAGTTTTAGAGCCCCCAAGCTTGACCTAAATTCCACCAACCATGCAGAGACTATACATGCTGGTGTGGGATACACGACACCTCCCACACGCACTATGGCTGTACTAACTTCTAATGTGGCTCAAGGACAGACAGGCAGAACAAGGGAAGACAGGATAAACCAAGATGAGTTGGCAGAGCAATCACATGGAGATATGCAAATCATCTCCTGGACATAAAAAGCCCCACCTAAATTTTCCTGTGTCCTTTGAGGAGAAGTCACAGAAGACAGAGCCCCTGGGCATGCCTCACAATCACTGGAACTCAGCCAAGGTGTGTGTGGAGGAAAGAACTCCTCATAACCAGGGATGCTAATTTAGAGCAAGTGGAAACAAAGATCTAAAGACCTATTAAGACTGACCATTTCCTGTGATTCCATCGGGAAGAACTAAAACTTTATGTATTTATTTTCCCATATATGTCTACTTGTGAAATCTACATATGTCAGTGGAAAATAAGAGACTGGAAATTTCCAATACAAATGAGTTTCTCTCAAGGGTTCCCTGGCCACTCATGTGCTCGCACCCCGGCCTTCTTTTTCTCAGATTTAACCTTAGCTTTACCATGGTTAGGTAAATGAATTTCATCTTATTAACTTGCCCTTTAAAAGCAGGAGTGTGGGATCCCATTGACCTCCCCATCTCCAGGAATACGGGCTGAGGTTACAGGGAGTCACTGATGGTTCCTCAACGTGGAACAGGGACTACCAATCTGTGGAAGGCACAGTCCAAGCTGCAAACACCTCTTCATCCCTTTTACTCCCTATGGTGAAAAATGGCAACTGGTATTACTACAGCACACTAGGCCAACTCCATATAGCTAGCTTTAGATCCCATTACTCTCTTCTATGCCCTGTCTTGGAACACGAATGCCTCTGTAAGTGAGTATCCTATTCAAATGGGTTACTAATGCTTGCGTGTCACTTAGACGAGGCACTCCTGTCTTCAGCCTGTCTGGCTCCAGGCAAATCCCCCAGAGACCTAGATTCATCAATGTGGTGCTTAAAGCTGACAGACCCTAAGCTTCATAGTTTAGGGGCTTTCCTTCTTAAGGTTTTGCTGCAAGAGCATATTGCAAGATTCACAGTAAGACAGCAGTTTAACGGACGCAAAGGATTGCTTCTGTTATACGTGATCTAACGCAGCTGTCATTGGAGCCGTATTTCTTTTAATGCACAGTCACATGTTTGCATGCAGGGTGTCTGTGATGATAGGAGTTGTATTCTCAGCATATGACCTGATTCTACCCCCATACTCTTAGCCCCATCAAGGTTCCTGCAGTTTTGTGTGGATATTCCTCACCCCATTTTTGCCTGAGGATTTTTATTTTAATAAACCAGAGAGGGCTGAGTGTCTGTTATTCTCCGGCAGACAGAGAAATATGGTATGCTCATAAACTCCACATGTGAAATCAGCTAGATGCTATTCTCCAACTAGCATGCAGAGAAACTACTTTTTTCTGGCCAACTTTAGATTTCAAAGTTTGTGAATGTATCAGAAGAGCATGAAATAGTACAATGATCATCAGATTAATACCACATGTGAAAACTTGGTGCTTGGAATCAGCATTACTGCTCTTTGCATGTTAGATACACATGGGAAGAGCCTGAAAGATGGACAGATGAAGGTCTTAAGTGAATAAGAAACTAATTTGTATTTTTAAAATCTCCACTTCTTACTTGGTAGCCAGTTTCAGTTCCCTTTAGTTCTTTCCTTCCACACCATTGAAATGTACATTGCTTTAAAGAGTGAAAACATGCCACTAAATGCTTTTAGGTTGCACAATATTCTAGGACATCCATATCCAATAGAACTTCCTTTGACCATAGAAATGTTCTATATTTGTGTTGTCTAACATGGTAGCCACTAGTCACAGCTGGCTACTGAGCACTAAAATATAGCTAGAGATGGAAGAACTACACTCTTAGTTTTATTTAATTATAGTTAATTTAAAATGAAATAGCCAACCAACCATAAAGACATTGTGGCTGGTGGCTACTGTAATGAACAGTGCAGTACTATACTATTAATATAATATTCTAGATTATAATGATCTAATTAAGCTGTAACTTGTAGGCTGGAGAACTGACGAAGTGCCACATATCCCTGCCTGCGAGTCAAATGGGTGCTATGGATTTCTGGTTTCATTAATTTTATAATTCAAAAGGCTCTTGTGCTAAATGCTGGTTGGCAATTGCTATTACTGGAACCCAGGAATGGAGGGATTAAAAAGCAACATACCTCTTGACAATCTTGCAGGAATTTCTGTAGATCTCTGTTGTCCTTCAACCTCATCAAAAGTTCACTGGCTGTCTCACGATTCTTCCTATGTCTATTAGAATGGCAACAAAAATAATTTTTAAAGAAGAAAGTAGAGAATCTTGAAATACAGAATACAAATCAATTTCTTTCCTGAATTTCTAACTATGCTAAAAAGAGTTCGCTTGTAGTTCTCAATAATGTGAAGAGACAAGATAAAGAGATTTTAGCATCCTCCAAAGTAGTAAGCCACGGTCCCAGAGAGACCCAAACACCTGCCCAAACTACACAACAGGCCGAACATACTGTCAAATGATCTATACAATCTGGTGCCTCCTAATCTGGTGTTGAGAAAAAAATATGAGCACACACTATGTACAAGTCCTTATTTTAGGCACCGGGGGAGAACTGGAAACTTATTTTGAAGAAGCTTATAACTGGGTGACACATACAAGGCTAAGAAAATATATATAATCATGTAACTGGCTTTAAACAAATGTTTCCTGATAAACAGTTTCTCATCTTGAAAAAAACTCACCAAAAATAAAACAAAAAGGAATGAAAATTTTTAGACCTATAAGACTATATACTAACTCAATCCCACTTTTAATCAATTGCTAAGGGTAATTAAAGCTCAAAGAAGTTAAAACACAAAACCTTAAATAAATAACTTGCAAGAATTGGAAAGAGCTGCTGAATTTGGTAAACGCTAAGGTAAAGGGGGTGCTCACTCCCTACTTGGTTCCTTCCCCATCTGCTGTGAAGGTGACAGCATTCTTTGGCAAACTTCCTTCATGCATCCAGTGGCTTAGAGACTGGAAACTGAGAAAGAGCAGCGTGAATGCCTAGCAAAGGATTGTCTTCCAGTGGCTCCACTACAACAGGGGAGAGCTTTACTTCCAATAGGGGAGGACCCACTGAGGATTCACAAGCACTGCCACACATACACTTCCTTGATATTCCTGAGTTGCCTAAGCAAGAAAGCCAGTCTATATTCAGGGTATTAAGACGGATAAAGGCAGAGTGCAACTGAGGACAGCTGGGTTTCCATTCTGATTCTTAGAGCAATTTCTCACTGCCTGTGCCTGCACAAGGTCTCTCCTCCATCCGCCAAACCCTGAGGCAGGGATGAGGAAGAACACACAGCCTTGGATTCTCCACCACGCTGAGTAAAAGCAGTGTGGTGAACACGTGCTGCTGACTGGTGTCCGAAGAAACTTCCCCAGGAGAAAGAAAGATGTTAGAGTAGAGATGCATGCACCACACAGGCCCTCAGTGGCCGCGGACAATGCAGTGTCATAGCCGTTGTCTGCCTGGAGAAACAAAAGAAAAAGCCCTCTGCCCCTATAGCTCCTGCAGGTACCAGTGGCTACAGAACAGTAGAAATTATACATATTTACATGTTATAACATCATATATCATTATACTATGTAAATTACAGTATTATATACAATTATTATAAATAAAAATATTAGGCATATGTTAGATAGAAATAATGCCTTTTTAATTTTTTTAAGTTGAAAGGAGTTCCAGGAAAAGAGATTTTGATATGCTTATCCCACATAGGCAAAATGCAAACATAGAAAAATAGTTATACTATAATGCTAAATGAAAAGAGTTTATACATATTAAACGATACAAAACTCCAAGGCATGGCTTAGAAACCAAACACTCAAATGGCATATGCTACAGATGGGATTAAGGGCAGTAGTTCTCCCCTTGAAAATGTTAGACATTTACTGCTTTTATAACAACAAAAAATAATAAAGGCCAGAGACATTTTATGTCATTGCATCTATCATCAGAGACCAAAATTAAATTAAAAAAAATAAAAGACTGTTAGTGAATTTGGGCTAAAAAGAATTAGTCATCTAAGAATGTGGATGGGTTAGGAATGTCAAAAGGAAATTCCCTTCCCTCAAATTCCAATTCTATTTCTAGGGGAGTTCAAGAACGCAAATCTTTAGAAAGGAGGTAATATGAGTTGGAGTTAGTGACAAATGCAGGAGTCCTGCCCCTAGTCAAAGGGATAAAGGATTCCATTTCCTTCGGCATGGCATCTCATTTAAGTCCTACAGTGGCAGGGAAGAATCCCAGATACTGGAAATTAACAACAGGACACACATCCTCGCCTCTCACGGAAATAATAGAAATGAACGCAACTTCAAACACTGTCTGGAAAGGTTCATTAAGGGAGAAATACAACCAGACAGAATCCTGAATGTGTTTCTTATATAATCAACTCTCACGCATATCCAGCAGATACCTGCCTGGGCAGCCTTTCTTTTACAGTGGGACCATCAAGATGGGAAGAAGGAGGCAAGGATTTAGAATTGCATGTCCAAATGACGCCGATCTATGCGCAGGTGTGACAACGGCCTTTGTGTGGTGTGAAACACAGCCACGCAGGCATCTGGGACTGCCGCTGACTCAGAAAACACTTAAAAGAAGTGAGTGTGGCTTAATGGTTTACTAGTGCAACGGACATCATTCACGGGAAGTAAAACTCAGGAAATTCCACGTTGGATCTTGGATTCAATTATAGGCAAGGGCCTGAGAAGGACCTTCTAAAACTAGGCTGTAGCTACCACAGAACTAAGAGTGCTTTTCCATCTCTCACTTTCTCTCCCCGACAGAAGACTCAAAACAGCTCCCTTATCATATGAAGCAGATGTGGGTGTTCTGGTTTCTGTGAATAGTCAAGAACCCCAGGTGCCTGAGTGAAACAACTGGGTAATTTTTAAGCCTGTTTTCCGGTGTGAGAGAGGGTCTTGCTTTATGAAGCTAGATACTGTTCCTTGCTCCCCATGAACTGTGCTGTGGCTGGAATTTCCCTTTTGGCCAGGAGCTCCCTCCCTCCCTATTCACATCCGCTAGGGCAGGCTGAGGACAGTCTCTCCCCACTCACAGGCACTCTGAAGGCCACTCATGCCCTACCCACATCTGTTAGAGTCAGTGTCTTTGTTCTGGTACTCTTTCATTTCAACAGCTCAGGAGATTTCCTGAACGTAAGCACATTATAATGACTTTACATTCTAGGAGAATCGCTTCACCAGTGTCAGGATGTTTCGAGGAGCGGGGATTAGATCTGAAGGTTTAGATGTTTACTTAGCTTGTGCTCCTACAACACCTGGAACTCACAAATGTGTGTGTTTTCATAACAGACAAGTACCCTCTAGGGTCAGTTTCAGTTCTGTGGGCCTCTGGGGATATTAAAGTGAAATCAGAGTTCAGTTAACATCAGTGGAGAAAAATAAGAAAATGTAGTTCTCCCGATGGCAGCTCATCTGGAAGCTCCCTCCTTCCATCTTTATTATGCTTATTGATAATACAGGGTCATTTTTACATTTCTTTTTTAAAACTGAGGAATCCTAAGGAAGCTCTGGAACAGCAGGAGCCTGGGATCTTGGTCAAGGGCAAAAGGAAGGTTAAGCCACAACTGAGGACTGCTGCTGCTGAAACGTTTTCTCATATCCAGGAGTCTTGACAGCATCATCTGCTTCCAACAGCTTTGTACTGTTGCAGCACTGGGGACATAAAAAGAAACCAAGGAAGCACCAAGACAGCTGCACGCCTGCCTGAATGCACATGTCCCTAACAGCCAAGCCCGCCTGCAGGAAACCAGCTGTGTGCATCTAACATGGAAGTACACAGGATACCTTATTTACAAAATACTCAGAGTTAGTATTACAAAAAAAGGAAGTTTTTTTCCTCTAGGTTAAGAACGCTTTGCCCAATCACTGTTTCTCACACTCATTTAAGGAGGATTTGGTGGATTTATTTTTCTTTTTTGCAGCTGTTTTAAAAGCAACAGATACAAAATTATAAGTAATATAAGTTATGCTCTATTCCACAACACCACCCTAGAGAACATACGGTTCAGGCTGGGAATCAGCTCAGAAAAAAGATTAGAAGTGCTAAAGACAGGAGCTCAATCTTTACTGGAAACAGAGTCATCCCCTCTCCACCCATCTTATTTTAAGTCAACTTGACCAGGGGTCCGAGGAAACCCTCTTGGATGTGGTAAGCAAAGGAGTATTTTTCCTTTCCAATACACCTGAAGGCCAGGAGAGAGGCACAGAGGAAGAGCTTGTTTTTTGATGATATCAGTCTCACAGCAAGCCGTTAAATTCAACCCAAACTGGAACAGAGGCTAGTGACTGATCCAGTGGCTGGTCCAGACTGGCCTGTGCTAGTGCATCCAACTCCTGATCTGCCCCAACCTCCAACTTAAGTAACCAGGGCAAGGCAAGAGTAAGGGGTGAGTCAAAGAGTTAGGGTCAAATGGAGTCCACTGGCCTCCAGCCAGGCAGGAAATCTTTCAGACACACAGACACACACACACAAGTAAATAAATAAATAATTTTAAACAAGAAATGAATAAAGTGTATCCAATCCTGGAGATGCCCTGGCAGAAGAGGAAAATAACCTTTGCTCTTATTTACCTCTCATCATGAAAAAGATCCTATTACAGCACTATCCAAGCCAATTTTCTAAAAAAGTCCAGATTATGTTCCTTTGTGGCTTTGCCAGGTCCTCAGAACAAGCCAGCTTCACCCTCCCTTCCCACTCTGCTGACAGGTTTCTTTCTCATGGATGAAGGGGAACATGGGCTTGGCTGGGAATACCTGGCGTCAGGGGTCCTATCAGGTGACACAAGCACGTGTCAATCCTCAAAGGGCATGGCTTACACCTGAATGCGACGCAGCATTGCAGCTCTTACAGGTCCTTGGTTAAGAATTAGCTTGGCTTCTCAGGCTTTCTTTCCTTTTGTGGACACCTGTACATGTCTCACCAGAACCACATTCTCAGGCAGTCATGCACGGCTCACTAATTTTCTGTTTGGGTAGATGAAATTCTGCTGGGCACCTATATTCCGCCCACTGGGAAATTTATGCCCACACTCCCAAGGGCTTCTGGCCAATGATTCAGAAGTTTGAGAGCCCCAACGTGCAAGTCTCCCTTAAGAACCTCAGAAAACTGTACCTGTCGTCAATAGAGTCCACCTTCTCCTGGATGCGATCTGAGTTGATGTTCCCATCGCTCACCAGCCTCCGGCCAGTCTCCACCACAGCGTTGATCTTCTCCTCATTGGCGTCCATGGTGGTCATGAAGTCCTCTTGCTTTTTAATTGCTGCTTCAGCTCCTTCCAAGGTGGTAGGCATTTCAGTGTGAGCCAGAACATACTCCTTATTTAAAAAGAGAAACAAGTCATAAAGGATCAATGAAGGATCTCATTTTCCTGTGTTCTACATTTCCATGCAACATACTTCACAACACTTTCTTCATTACACTTACATGAAATAATTAAATCACATCAAATTAAAAATTAGGAGGTAAAAAAACCCAGTGGGACACTGTAACTCACTGAATTTCCTCAGGGTTTAAATGCTCTAAATTTTTTTTCCAAAGTGACTGAGGAAAGGAACCAAAGCTTTGTGCATCAGCCTCAAGGGTTCTCTCACGTGCCCGTCAAGGCAACAGTAATGTACCCTTCATACCCTCCCTTTGAGACAATAGCAGCCCTGAAGTTGGTGACTATCCTCAGCTGTTTTTATTTCTCTAATCGCTGCCTTGTGTCCTCAGGTGAAGTCCCTGACCCTTTTAGAGCAATAAGACAGATTGGTCTCAAGAAAAAAAAACCTTCACTGTACTTTTTTTTTTTTATTAAAGAGACAGGGTCTCATCCTGCTACCCAGGCTGCAGTGCAGTGGCACAATCACAGCTCACTTCAGCCTTGACCTCCTGGGCTCAAGTGATTCTCCTGCCCCTGCCTCCCCAAAAGCTGGGATTACAGGAGGGAGTCATCATGCCTGGCCCTCACTGTATCTTTTAAATGGGATCAATACCTCAATTATGAGGACATACTATGTCCTAAATGGCAGTTGAAATCAAATAGTACTTTGCAAGGCAAAGCAGCTCCTATGGCAATCTTCAATTCCTGTCCCCTACAATGTGATGGATTTCAGTGCCTCAAAAGTATTGGGAAAAACATCGGTCTCTAAATTATCCATATAATTCCATACAGGGTTGTGGGTTAAATCAGCTGCCCCAGCCAAAACATTTCAAAAGGCAGCCAGGGCTGCTTTCATGGAAAGGAAGCAAAGGCAGGAACAAATCTTACCTGGTTGTTAAGAAAGGCTTCCGCTTGCTTCGTGTCTCTGAGGAACTGCTGGTAGGCATGTGACTGGGAAAGGAGATTTTGTCTGTTCTCCCACATCTTGTGCAGCTCGTTCCATCCAGTGTCCAGCGCCTGTAGTCGCTGCCGCAGAAACATGTACTGGGCATCGGTCTGCCCCTGGGTGACCATCTCGCCCATGTCCCTCATCTTCTGGTAGTCCTCCTCATAGTTGTCAATCTCGTTCTTGATGTTCTCATGCTGTGTGAGCAGCTTCTCGGCCTCGGTCAGGGTGTTTGGCATGTCCTCCGAGGCGATTGCTGTCTGGGTCCTAGAGAGCCAGGACTGGAAGTCGTCCAAGTCCCGTAGGAACTGCTGCAGCTTGCTGGCCTCTCCCAGGGAGGCCTCTCGGTTTTTCAGGGTGGTCTTCATCTCCTCCCACACGTCGCTGATCTCGGCCAGCCGAGACAGGATGGCCTGGGCCTGGTCAGGGTGCTCGGACTCCAGCTTCTCTGCCTCCTTCTGCAGGTCACTCAGCTTTGCCTCAATGGCCACCAAGTCCCGCTCCATGCCAGTCAGCTTGCGCTGCAGGGCCATGACGCCAGCCAGGTCATTGCCCAGGTCCTGGGTGGACTCGATGACCTTGGTCTTTTCCCGAATCCAGGATTTGGTTTCGTTGCACTCGAGGTGGTAGTTCTGGATGCTCAGGGCAGACAGGAGGGCATCCTTCTTCCTGTCAACCAGTTCTCTGAACTGGCTCCACCTGTAAGTGCAGGGGCAGAGAGCGAGTGTGAAAAAGGGAAGACCGACCATGGCTGGATTGCAAAAGGAACAGTAATGGGGTTAATGCTGCTTATCTGTTTTCTCCATCTTTGCTTTGAGTACATGCTTTTTGGAAAATTATCTCACTCAGACTACGAACACCATATATAATGGAAATGGCTCAGGGATGCAATGTAATCTGGAAAAAGCCTGTCACAAACAGGAATGTGTTACAGAGCTCCAATGTGAGCAATTACAACACATCCATTCCCAGAGTCAATTAATTCATGTCTGCAACACACATTTTACACATCTCTGAACTCCACCTAATGAATGTTTTCCAAATCTAAGACTCTAAGACTGATGGTAACCTTCAAAACTGGGGCCAGATGCCACAACCTACTCAAACATGTTTACTCAACAAAAAGATAAGACCGGAACAAAGGTCTGCCCTGACAATCAGGACTTTTCCATTGGCAAATTAAGTGTTGAACATGCTAGAGTCCTGTTCCTAAAGTTACTTTAAAATGGATAGCACAGGTGTCATCTTAATACCTTCTACACTGGACACAGGTCACACCAAGGCCCTAACTTTGGTGTGCAGAGGGGCAGGTGCTGGGCTGGCTCAGATCATCCTCCTGCAACCAACGATGTTGCCCTGAGAGACACTTCTTACAAAACAAGGACATGTCAAAACGCAGGTGCCAATGCCACGACATCGTGTTGCAATGTCAATGACCCCATGTGGGAAATTCCCAACAGCAAGGCTCAGTGAGTGACCTCACCCTCCCCAGCCCCACACGTGGGAGGCTGGAAGGCTGCTGGCTGCGTGCTCACCTCGTGTTGAGTTTGTCCTGCTGGGCTTTGATTTCCTTCTCACTTGGGTTGCCACTGTGCATCAGCTGGCGTGCAATCTGGTTCACCACTGCGACCCGGGAAGCCTGGTTGTTCATTTCTGGTTCTAGGCTCTCAAATCTGAAACGGCAATTTGACAGGGTGGTCACCTCCTGGGCCACTAGTGGTCACAAGGAACAGGCCAGTGACTGGCAGTGCCCCGCTCACCTGTGCTGGATGACCTCCAGATCCTCCAGCTTCTCTGGGATCTGCATGTTGTTGAGCCACTGCTCCTTTTCGTCGATCCAGAGCTCACAGGCGTCGGCCTCACTGAACATCTTGTACAGGGCCAGGGTGTCCTGGAGTGCCTGCTTCCGCAGCCGCGTCAGCTCTGCCACCTCCTTATATCGCTCCTCGATGCCCGACAGCCTGCCCCTCACGTCTGGAGACTCGGCATGCTCCTGGGGGAGGGCGCTGGCTTGCTCGTGCAGCGTGTCAAGGGTGGGCCTATAATTGGCAATCTCTTCCGCCACGTCCTTGTGTTTCTTGACCAGAGACTGTGTGGAATATTCATCGTGGCCCACATCGCTGCTGGAGACAATCTTGAGGATGTCCAGCATCCAGGCATCAATGTCGTCAGCATCTGCCTGGAATTGGTGTAGCAGGGAGGCCTCCTCCAGGCGCTTCTTCCGAATGGCTGAGAGCTGCTCTAGGTTGGCCCACTGCTCCCGGATGTAAATGATCCTCTCACGGATCTTCTCCGACCCGAAGTGCTCCTCTGCGATCATGTCTTCGCCTTCCTTGATGGCCTGCTCGAAGTGGCCACTGCGGCCGCTCATCTCGTCCTCAAACGCCCGGTGCTTGCTAAGCAGGCGCATGACGCTGGTCAGGTCTTTCCCGTAATCGTCTGAGGACAGGATCTTCTCCTTCTCCCGTATCCAGCCTTCCTCTTCTGCCATCTCCCAGAAGAACTTCCAGAGGCGGCGGGACTCTTCCAGACGGGCCCTGCGCTCAGCCGCCAGCTGGCAAAGCTCTTGATAACAGAACTCCATGTGGGCCACGCGGTCTCGGATCACCTGGGGGTCGCAGGGCTTGTAACCTGTTTAACATCAAGGAAGGAATGTAGGTGTGTGATGGAGCTCAGCATGGGTGCAGGCTCACTGACAGGCAGTGAGCTACACCCCGTGTACTTATGATTACCAGCTCACTGCTAATCTAAATGCAGGGCCATGTGATAAGGCAATGGAGCACCTTCTAATATCTTGACTAGAACAGGAGTGAGGGCAATGATAAAAATTTTTTTTTTTTTTTTTTGGCACAACCGCAGACCAAGTGATCATCCTCCTGCAAGAAAGCACTTGAATCATAAGAAAAAGGCAATTGCATATAATTGTTTCTAGAAATATACGAAACAAAACCAAATCATTCTAAACATCCTCCAAACAGAGATATGTGCAACCAGCTGTGAAAACCAGGAGCCGCTGGAGCAGCCACACCAGGGTGTCGGTGCATGGCCAGAAAGAGTGAGGTCAGGCAAAAGTCTCACTGCCAAACACCAAGCCACTCAAAGCCAAGCAGCATTTGCATATTTAAGGAAAGGACATATGAATTCCAGAAAAACAAGACAGAATTAGTGTTCAGAAGGCCACTCCACTGTATCTCATGCTCCCATGACAAACCCACCAGGAATGTATAGTGGCAGAGTAACTTCAAAAGCCCCATTGTGTTTCTATAAATATGAATCTCTGGTGATCTGGAGGTAATGCTTGGAATGGGCCATCCTTACCTTCCCCGTCTGTTGCGAACTTCTGGGCAGAGGCATTGACACCTCTCACCCGCTCTGCCTGGATGCCAATGTCTGCTTCAACCAGGGTGTGCTTCTGTAACAGGTCTTCCACACCAAGTAAGTGTTTGCCATAGTCTTGAGACAATACTAGCACCTGTGCACAAGAAGCAATCAAAAGGACATCTGTGACTATAGCCTTGACTTCAGCATGACATAATCTTTAGACAAACAGCCAGCAATGAAGCTGTGCCTTCCCTCTAGTCTGCCATGGACCCCACACCTTCAGGGGAAGATGATGGTCAACAAACCAGAACAAAACAAATCAAACCTGAAGGCCTGAGTCAGGAGAGCTATCACAAACTAACGTTCACCAACCTTGGAATAAGCAAGTCAAATCTACACTAAAAAGTGCAGAATAGAAGAAAAAGGTCGTGAGGGCCAGCAGGGGTGGGAGTGGGGAGGGTGGGCAGGGGTGCTGTATGAAAGATTCCAAAATATAAACTGAAACTTCAAGAAGAAACTGCTGCAACAACTACTTAAAAATAAACAAATAAATAAAGATGATAGACTTGGTCACTTCAAGTTGAAAGAAATCTTTTAGAAGTTGCTGAGCCTGTAAGTGAATGTTTTTCCTCGGTTAAGAGCTTATTGATATGCCTCTACTATACTTACACAATCAATGGGAGAAGAATCTACTTGAAAAGCTTGTAAGCCACATCTTTAAACCAATAAGGAGAGCAGGGTCAGGTGGCTGTCTTGCTTAGTAGACCCCAAGCAACTTCTAGGGTTTAAGTTTGAACCAACTGATATTTTCTTGTTTCTTCCATCAACCAGCCAAATTTGGGGGCCTCATTCTACATCCTTGTCAGATGGGATTTCTACTTCACTCTTACTTCTGAGAAGTCTCTGGACCAACTGAGTTACAATGTGCATCATGATTTACAAAATGAAAAGTCCCTCTCTGCTACATTTTAAGAACATTTCTATTTTGAGAGGTCAAGAGAGACAAGACCTAAAAAAATCATAAATCTGGACCAACAGGAGGGAAAACTGATGGTATCAGGTGCCCTTGCCCCTCTGCCAGGAACAGTCCAAGAGGTAGGCAACAGATGACAGCTTATATCCTGGGAAGGGAATCTCTTGCGTAAGGTCAAGCTTGGGAGCGCATTGTGCTGAGACAAAGGAGGCTTCATGGGACTGTCTGAAAACTGACCTATTTTCTTCTATCTACAAGGCTAAAGCCCTTCCAGCTGGAGAACTGCTTGACATGGCTGAGCATTCCATGGCCTGCATCGGAGGACAGGAACAGGTACAGGGCCATGGCATGATAGCAGGTCTCTTCCTAGGAAGGGGGAAAGGTTGGAACTCTATGCTGACAGCAGTCAATAAATGGCACGAGCAGCCACTGCCATCCAGTCCATCCTATGATCTGTGCACATACTACTGCATTCCATCCTTGCAATAACTGGATGAGGTAGATAGTAAGTACGATCTCCATTTAAAGACCAAGAAAGAGGGCTCAAAGAGGATTAGGCAACTCAGGCACTCACCATCAGAACTCTGGCTGCCTGGTTCCCGACCTCTCCTCTGTCCACGGCACCTACCACTCCTTCCTTCTCCCCATACCACCTCTCTGGGACCCCTGCCCAAAGTAGTACCACTCACTCAAAGATCAATGAAAATGGCAAGTTAGTTTAACCCCGAAAAATTAAAAATAAAGAAAACCACAATGTGATTGATTCCCTACACTGGAATATATCTACGTTAGACATAAATCACAGAAACAGAGCTCTAGCTACTGAACTTCTTCACACTTCATGTCTCATTTAATTCCTGAGCTAGCAATCTTCCCATGGGTGATGTGGCTCCTCTCTAGCTGTACAGGTGGGCAGTTAGACAAGGCACACAGCTGTATGTACGGGTTTAGTGAATGAGTCCCAGTGAAGAGAGCGCTGGTTGGATCAGCTCTGTCCTCCTTCCTTTCAGTCAGGTTTTACCTTCATTTCGTCCATCCAGTCCATAATGTAGAGCATTTCCTGGAATATCTTCTGCAGCCCCAGGTTCATCTCGAGCCGCTGTCTCCGGGCCCTGAGCAGTTCCAGTAGGTATTCCCAGAGTCGGATGACATTGTCCTTCCTCGCTGTGATGCGCTTGATGTCGTGGTAATTCTCAGCCTCGAGCTCCCTGGCCACGGCTACCACAGCCTGCACACGCTCCTCGTATGCGGCAATGTCTGTCTCAATGGCCTCGTGCTTTTTTGTGGCGGCCTCAACTGCGGGAAGGTCAAACCCAAAGTTGTCCTACAGAGAAACGGAATGAAAAGAAGGAAAATAAAAAATCCACCCAGGCACGGTGGCTCACGCCTGTAATCCCAGCACTTTGGGAGGCTGAGGTGGGCAGATCACCTGAGGTCAGGAGTTCGAAACTGGCCTGGCCAACACTGTGAAACCCTGTCTCTACTAAAAATACAAAAATTAGCTGAGCGTGGTGGCACGTGCCTGTAATCCCAGCTACTTGGTAGGCTGAGGCAGGAAAACCGCTTGAACCCGGGAAGCAGAGGTTGCAGTGAGCTGAGATGGCACCACTGCACTCCAGCCTAAATGACAAGAGTGAAACTCCGCCTCAAAACAAAACAAAACAAAAACAAAACATTCCTGCCCCCTGCCCGTCACCCCCCTGCCAAAGGAAACAGAACAGACATGAAATATTGAGCACATATTAATCCCTGGTGGTCTCAAATCTAAATCTGACTCCTGAGTCCCCCACCTCACTGGTCTCTGCCTTGAGCTTAGATGCCCTCCTCAAAGCAAACTAGTAACTGCTCATTTTGCAGAGGGGCCCAGCTCATATCTAGTACCTGACTGAAAAGCTAGAGCAGGTGATAGCTTATATCAAGTCAGGTGGAAAAGTAAGCCAGTTTTGCTTATTTCACAACCAGTCTAACCGCCTCGAAGGATTAGTTGGTCAAAGATTAAAGAGAGAAACTGTTAGAACTTATAAATGTGAACAGTTCACACACACTCAATGGCTCTAAACAAACTCTGCTTGAGCTGCTTCCACATCTATGAAAAGTTAGATAAATAGAAATATATATATATAGAAATTATAAACATCCTCTTCATGGGAAGTAGCCAAGGTGACCTGACAGTTCCTCCAGAATAACGAATGTCGATAAGCAGCTGTCCTCTGGCCCTATGCCCCTGGCATATGTCTGTGTTTCTAGATTACCCCAGGAACAGTCTTTTTAATAATGTCAAGAGCAGAACCTGAGACACCAGACGCTGGTTTTCACTCAGCCAAGTCTCCCTCATAGCTGCCTTGCGATCAAATCTGCGGGCGAGCTGTTCCAGTTTCTCCTGTCTTATGAGCTCATTCCGCAAAGCCAGTTCTCTTTCATGTTCCGCTTTTTCCAGTCTTTCCCAGGCCTACAAAAATGAAAATACACACACACACACACAAACACAAACAGTTTCCTGTAGTGTTCAAGGAAACTTCCGTGGCTACAGTCAACAGCTACTATTTCTCAAAAAGACCCGACAACTTGAATGGGAAATCCCATTCCCACCATCATTGACTCTCAAGCCTTGAGGAAAAAAATGGGTTTTTCTCTCAGTGTATCCTCATGGGAACGCTCTTCCGTCATCTAAATCTAAAGATTCTGTGTTGTACTTGGAAAACAAAACTGTAGATATAAAGCAATATAAGTAAATCATAAATCTCTTACTTTAAGAGGAAATAAATTATCTTAAATAGCTTTGATCATATAAAAAAGATACATGATTTTTCTAAGAATTCATATGAATTTCTCATTCATTCCACCCTGAGCCACTTTAAAAAAATTTACACATCTGAAATTTCTTTCAAAATCCTGACCCACTGTCCATATTAAATTCATTCCTATGAAACGTATTTCTTCACATAAAAAAAAAAAGATCGAACATTCCACTCAAAGGAATCTAAGTGGGGTCAGATGCAGTGACTCATGCCTGTAATTCCAGCACTTTGAAAGCTGAGGTGGGAGGATTGTTTGAGGCCAGGAGTTCAAGACTAGCCTGAGCTACAGCGAGACCCTGTCTCCCATTAAAAAAAATTTTTTTTAATGAGCAGCAAAAAGGAATGTAGTTGTGTACAAGTGACCAGAGTTCTAGAATTTTCAAATTTCTTTCTAGTTGGAAATAATGCCTGCTGTGAATTTCTATAACTGCAGGCATAACAGGCATGATGATTAAAATTGCTTATTTGACAGCTTCTCTAATGGAAGAAGCCAACATCCTAAGCTCCACAACCACTATGATTCCAAACACGTGAAATTTCAATTCTCCTTTCTGTAATTTGTTTCAAACAACTGCCTCAGATGAAAAGTAAAGTGATATGTATCTGAGTAGCAAGGTGTATAGCCTGCGCCAAAGCTGGTTTGATGAAATCTAACATTACTCCCCGAAGCCTCCAGCAGCCTAGCCTGGCACCATTGTTTGCTTGGTCCTTTGCCACACCTGAGCACCAGCTGCCAATTGTCAATTCAGCAGGTGGGGACAGCCCCTTCCAGTCTCTTGTCCTCTTAGCAGTTGAAACATACTGATAGAACCTGAAGCCTCCAGGAGGTCAGGGCCCATGCAGAGTCCAGATCCACTTTACCTTGTTGATGTCAGAGATGAGCTTCCCCTCCCGGGGCATGTAGACCTTCTGGTTGTTGGCCCTCATCTTGCTCTGAATGGTGAAGAGCAGCACTTCCAAGTTCCCCTTCTCAGTAAATCTAAACGCAGGGGAAAACATTCATTTGTTACTGGAGAAAAAAAAATTTCCCACAGTCATGCATTTTAAAAATCATTTAACTCTGGTCTGACTTACGTGAAATGTATGGCAAAGAGACATCAGGAGGTTGCTCACTGGCTTTTACAAACCTTGAAACATACCAAACTGTGGAATTTTTTCATAGTTGTTTGTTGTTGCTGACATTTATATTTGAGGGTGTCAAGGGCACGCAATAATCTTTGTATTCACTTCAGTCAAGCTTTAAACCCTAAATCCTGGACAACGGACTGACTTCATTCATTCAGTGTAGCTGAATGCACTCAACACAGATTATTTCAAATGTCTACCTAATGTAATTTTCAATGGGTTTCAGAGACCTTACCAAGGTATATGCAACCGTTTTCAGAAAAGAAAAAAATGACTTTGGAACTATGGTAAGCAATAGATAAGGTCTACAATCCTTATTCAACAATTATGAACTTAAAAAAGATATGAAAAAAAATCAAACTTTTTTGGGGTTGCAAAACTTGATCTGAACTGTTATGAAATTATTTATTGTCTTTAATGCAATGTGAATATTTACACATTTTGCTACAGATACTTACTGGGCTTATGGGCTACTGCCTTAGTCCCATCTGGGGTCTTGTAATATACAACATATGAGCTGTGCTGTTTTTTTAAAATCCCAAAATTATGGAATCCTGAAACACACTGGGCACAATGGTTTTGGATAAGGGGTTGAGGACTCGTACCATTTCTTAGAATTCTCATATATCCTGTATGTCAGTGGTACATTTCTATTGGGAAGGGCTCGGAGAGAGCATGATCTATCATAAATCTCAGCAACACAGAATCAGATGAAAAGGAGTAGGACATGCTACTGAGAGGCATTCAGTTAAGAGATGAGATTACAGAAATCAGAACACAGGGTTGGCTGGCTACAGTGATGTGTCTTTCCATATTAATGATCACACACTATAATCTGCATCTTACTTGGGTGGTTTCTCCACAGTGCGGTAAGTGTTGAATGCCTGAAGCTGCTGTTGAACCCCGACCAGTGAATTGGCAAATTTGCGATTGTTCAGAATGATGATGGTTTGTTCAATCCATTCCAGAAGGTCAGAGGCAAGTGATTCATACTTTTCAATCATTTTTTCTGTTTCAATAGCATTATCAAGCACCTGTAAACAAGGGATGGAAAAATTAAAAAGATCATGTCGCTCCATAAGTTAAATACGATTGCAACCCTATACGAGTGGACACACACTAAATGACCGGCTTTGAAACAGTTTGGCCGGCTCTGAAACAGTTCGGCCGCACCTGGGCACAAGCATTTTAACTCAAGGAACCATCTGCTAAGAGGCACCTAGACTGATTATTTGTGAGCAATGACAGCCTAACTGTAATTGGTTTTGTAACTTCCCAACCCTCAAGCAAAGAGATTCTGAATGATTTCTGTAGCCTAACATCTGAAATCCCTAGAGAAACAAAAAGGGCTCTATTTAGCTTGATCCTGTCCCATAAATGCCCATTACTTTTTTACTTCACTGCATTGAGAGGACAATGTCATCTGGTCTGAGGTGTTTTGAAAACATGGTAGGTGAACATCGCCAAATGAGAAGTAAAAAGCATGATGCTAGGACTTTTTCAACTGTGGTAAGTAGGATGTCACACCCATGACATTAGCCAACTCGATCAGATTTCCAATACCCAGTTTCCTGGAGAGGTTGAGGAGAAGGATGTTTCTGGGTTTGAGTTAGCCCCCAAATCCTTTCCTAAATATGGTGGCCATCTCTCCCACCTCTTGTTACCCTTCAGGATGAAGAGGCTTCCGCTGATTTCCCTACCATCCGGAGAGCCCACTACAAATTGCTATTGGCAAATTTTATGAGTGCATGGGAGAATGAGGGCTCAATGAACCTTAATTATGTTTCACAACTCACAAAACTGGCATGAGCTCACCTTTCCAATTCGTTTTCCTTCAACAGCCAAAGCCTTCATCTTAGAGAAGTAGTGGTAATAAGTCACCACGTAAGTGATTATGGACTTCTCATCAGGGTGGTCCACGCTGATGTCTGTAACCCAGAGAAGACTTTATTCAGTGTACTGCATGCTACTGTGCCCCACCCAGGCAGCAGGAATGAATGTAACGACTGCTGGACAACACGGAACGGTGCAGGGTCTTCATGTTTGTACTTGAGCATTCTGCCATCAGTGCATTAATTACGAGGATAATGAGGGTGAAACCATCTCACCGATTCCCTATTACGTGAATATTCATGAAATGCCTTCCACAGACACACAGTTCCTCTCCCTGCCCTACCATAATACTGGGTTTGCTCTGCCTGAGTTCTTATTTCTTCCTACAGGACCAGCACCGCCCCACGTCACTCAGTCTTTAGATATCTTTATCTTCTTGTTACCAGTATCCAGCAGCTAGTCACTGAGTCTGAGTTGGGATGACCCTTATTTGTGGAATCCTTATTGTGACTCATGGTTCAGACCCATCCTATCACATAACCAGCCCTAAAACAATGGCTCCCTCCACCAGCTTTCCCTACTACTTAATTTCCTTACACATAGTGCACCCAGATTGATCTTCCAGAAGCACAGCTGTGAACAGTTCCTCCTAGCTCAAAATTACTCAGTATGAAGAATAAAGTATAAGCGCTTCAGTCCTCTAGAATCTGGCTATAACTTTCCTTCCCTTTTTTCCATCAATTTCTCAAATATTCACCACGCTTCATTTAAGTGTCAAGCATTGAGTTCTAGACATTCCTAAATTCTATAGCGTCCTACCTCTCAGCTACTGTATTCCTTATTAAATTTTTTTGAGACAGGGTCTCACTCTGTTACCCAGGCTAGAATGCAGTGACATGATTACAGTTCACTGCAGCCTCAAACTCCTGGGCTCAAGCAATCCTCCCACCTCAGCCTCCTAAGTAGGTGAAATTACAGATGTGAGCCACTGCACTGTATCTCTGAATCAAACTTGACCATTCACCATTCCTTATACATATCACATAATTTCCAACATGACTTCCTTTACTCATGATTTCCCTTTGTCTGAAATGGCCTTTCTGATCCCGTAACTTTCTTACTATCCATCAAGGTCCATTTCAGAAGTTACCACCCAATACAACCATTTATGATCCCTACAGCTGACATTATTGTCTCCCTCCTCTATTCCCTTGGGACTTCGTATGGATGCATAGTCCACTTTTTGCCAGGTTATGGTTTTTTATGCATGTTTTGTTTGCCTTACAAAATTCAGTCCTTGTCAAGGGTAGAAGCCTGTCCTGGCAAGCCACTCCACCTCCCACATTCCTGCTGTGCTGTCCTGCACAAAGCAGGTGGTCAATAAATAGGTACTGAGAGAAGGAACAAACAACTGAAAATAGCAAGTCTTTGAAGTTTGGCAATATTGAGTAAAGCACTCAACTTGGGATAGGTTGTGAAAAGAACACACAGGACAGCTCTTAACAGATATCATCAGGCTCTTTTTCAATATACATTCATACATACACCCCCATTCCTATTGCCACCCCTGACAGCCTTGTATGGAGCAAAATTGTTTCTCTTAATTTAAACAAGAGAACATTAGGACGCACTGCTGGCACGCTCCCTGCCCAGGGTCACTTAGGCAGCCAGTGGCGGTGAGGGCCAGAATCATAGCTACTGTTCCCTACCCCAGGGCCCCTGTGTCTGCTCAACCCATCAAAGTATGCACAAAGGAGAGTGAACTGGAGGACAGCCAGAAAAAAATGCCAGTGTAAGTATCCAATTTAATCAACACAAAATGTCAACAAAACTCAAAGAAGTGAGAAGGCAAAACTTTTTATTTAACTTGTCTACAAGTAGATTTTAACTGATGCTCTTTGGGGTCCCGGACAACTAATAATCAAGATCAAACCACAGGACAAAAGTGAAATCAGCTGCCAGTTTTAGCTCCTTGTTTTGTGATCTGGGGAACATCAATCCCCCTTTTCATACTGGGCGGTGATTAGAAAGATTAACTTATGAGCAAGTTATTAAAAAATGTTGTCACTGTAATAGGGAAAAAAAAAAAAAGGTTCTTTATCAAAGCACAAAGAACATGGGGTAAGGAAAAATTCCTTCCCATAGTAAGATAGGGGTTAAGCACGAAGATTTATTGAAACCCAAGGAATTTTAGTTTTCTGTTTATATTGAGAAATCATTTAATGGATTAGTACAAAGATAATTTTATCTCAACTTCCTGTAACCAACATATCAGCGAATCTGATGCATTGGAAAATAGCAAGAAGCCTGCCTGGAGGCCTCATGACCTTGATCTGCCTTTGGGGAGTTAAACTTCCTGTTCTATATTTAAAAGAACTTTAAACTTTCACTCACATACACACGGTTTTTTTCCTCTGTAATATTTGTTCACAGCTGAGAGGATCTATAAATCTTCAGCACTACAAACAAATCCTGAAATTTTAAATGCTTCTCAAAATTAGAAAAAGTTCCTATGAGAGCTCACGTTGAAATGAAACCCAGAATTAGGATTTTGTTAAGTAAGGGAGATACAACCTGGGGGACTGCTCCACACAGGTCAGCTCCAAGTTACACAGGGACTCACAGAGTAAAGAGGGATTAGTTCCATGCAGAGAATGGGATGAATCTGTAAGAAAGGACTGTGACTGCTGCTCCTTCCACCCCCATTCCCCTTTCACAAATATGCCTTCCTCATTTAAACTCTTACTTGCTCACAAGCAAAGCACAGCCTCGTAACAAGGCCCCTGCCTCCAATCTCCACCCATCCCCATCCAACCTGCTTGCCACCTTCAGATAAATGTCAGCCAACAAGCATTCATTGAGAGCCTATGCCAGGTTTTCTACTTTTCTACTTCGAGCACAGCAGCTAAGAACCTTCAATGACTCCCTGTTGCCTGTTGCCCCTGTGGGGATCCTATCCACACTATTACCCTAACCACCATTCCCATTGAATTGTTAGTCCTCAAACACACCTTCCTCTTTCCTGGTTCTGCACCTTTGCTCATGCTAGTAGCTCTGCCTGCACACGCTCTCCTTCAGACTCTGTTTAAATCGTATTCATCTTTCAAGGCCTTTTTTGAGTGTCATCCTTTCCACAAATCCTCAAAAAATTCCCATAACCAAAACTAAGCTCTTCCTTTGATAATTCCCAAAGTATGCCATACAAATGAAACATGCTGACACAAAACAGATTTTACATTAACACCTGGATAGTACAGATGCTACAAATCCCACCTGTTATCCCTTGAGTCCCTACCTTCGGGGTCCAACAGTTTAGTGAGGCCGAGGTGCTGCTCTGCCAGATTAAATGCATTCTGCAGGTTGTAGTGTGCGTTGGATTTCTTTAGTTTGTCAAAATCTATCAGGTCAGGCCTGTGCAGAACAGTGGAACACAACAAAAATCATGGCTTGAAAAGAAATATGACCAATGAAACATGACTGTTACTCCAAAAAGGTTAAAATCACCACTTAGTGGAGTAAAACTCTAAAATATACTATTATGGAATCATCAAACAATGAAACCTGATTTTTGAATAAACACTTCAAAGTTTATTAAGAAAAAAGAAAGATTAAGGGTGAACCTGTTTATTTTGTGTGGAAGAATTTACATATTCTCCCATATTTTCCTCACATGGAATGTAGGAATTTCCACCATGGTGCAACAGTTAAGGCAACGGATATGGGAAAGTTACCCAAACCTGCTATGGATGGACAGCAACCTTTTGCCCCACAATTGCTAGGATGATTTGTATGGACTTACCGGTGTTTGTGTATCAGTGCATTGAAGGCCATGCCGTCCCTCCAGCTAGTGGTGAAATTGTGAATGTTGACATTGGGGTACCTGCCAAGGACAAAGCAGAAGGGAAAAGCAACACAATTACCACATGGAGGTTTATACTTTTGCCAAGTGCTTTGTTAATAAATAAGTCTGTAAGCATTGTAAAACCTAAAGCAGTGAATATCACTAAGGACAATCAAGTCAGAACAAAAATCCCATCAACTCCAGCTTGCCATAAAATAAAAATAAAACATGCATCCATGTGGTTTTTCTTGCTTGGTAATTCAATCTCACAAAACATGTAAACTGTGTTGTAGATTTAAAACACTACTCTTACTTAGGAAAAGGTGACGACAACCTAGACATCTGTGAGGCCTCTGCTTCCACGGGCTTTCTACTGTACCTACAAAGACACCAGGACCTGCAGTCCCCTGTCACACGTTACTTTGGGACAAGAAGTGGTGGGACTACCTGTTCATGTGACACTCAGCTTTCTTTCTTCCATATGCCACTTAATTGGATGAAAAATCCCTGAAAAATTTATGTTTGAAACCTACCCATAATGAAACAGCTATTCGATACTATATTGACTATTAATAACTTTATATCAGTGGCTGATTAAAGGTTCATACCTGACTTGAACCTTTTATTAGGCCATAAGCTCTTTATAGACATGATCACTTTTCAGCTAGCTCTCATAATGGACAGAGTTCTGATTTTCATATTCTGAATTCATGTTCATTAGAGTTACGTCTATACCTAAAGAAGTTCTGACAGTAAATCTAATTAACCTAAAATTGGGTCTCAGTAAGTACGTAGAACCTTAAACCAATTTGCTAAGAACTCGAAGGTTTAGCATCAATTGAGTCCTAACAGTAGTGAGCAACAAAAAAGGTGCGGTTCTCTAAAAACAGCTTCAATGAAATTTCAATGAAAAAATCAAAGGAAACTGACACAGATAATATTAAAAGGTTATGCTAATGTTTACTGTGCAAAGAAAGCTCCCCAAAACGGAAATCAAAGGATGAAGAAAACCTACAACTGTACTCTTAAAATATCATGGATATGATTCCTAAACATGCTTCCAGGGGTTTTCAAATTCAAAATATAATGCTCTTTGGAGCTTCCTTAATAAAGAGAAGGAAACTGATTATGAAGACATGACAGGTCTAAAATATAAATTAGAACTCCTTCCATTCCGAGAGCTAATTGAAAAGTCATATCAACTGCTTATGTGTTAACAAGACTTCCCAGTGGAAGCAGTGGAAAAGATACCTGTCAACACCTTCTAAGTGATGACTGCAGTGGAATTCAGTCCTGGAAGCAGCAGCCCCAATACCCTCTGCGTTCACACTCACCCAGCTGTCTTCATCTGGCACCACAACAGCAATGCATCCTTGGCAGATTTCTTCTCTTTGTTGTCTTCAGTTTCCACACTGATATCCTGGATCTAAGATTTACAAAGAAATATTAGACAAATAGATGGGTCAGCTGTCTCAAAGAGCCACTGAAGAACAGGTCTGCCTATACATAAAGAATAAACGAGATCAAAGCCTTGTCCTGCAGACGATCTACCCTGTGAATGAAAACTGCTTCCTTCAGAAGCACAACCAGAAACACAACCAGAACTAGGTTTTCTACGTTGCACAGATAGAAGGCTGTAGGGACTTCCCAGCACCTATCAGAGGTCATTTTTACCCCTGAGACAGCCCATCTTTCCAGTGAGAAGCAAGCACAGCGGTTCACACAGTGTATCTGGAATCTCATCAGACCCCCAGAAAAATACTGAGTTCGGTTTTTCGTAAGTAAACATTTTTCACACTAGGTGCAGCCTTCATTGATGAGGGCACTGTGTGCACCATTTCCAAACCATTACAGCAAGTGTGTGCTTAAGCGCTGTGCTTCCATGGTGTGCATTCATAAGCCGCTCAGAGGCAGCATATTTGCAACATTATAAACAAAGCCTGGTCAGCTGGCACCAAAGTCAGACTGCCTGTATGTGAATCCAGGCTCCATCACCTACCATGTGCCCTTGGGCAGGCTCCCCAGCTTCCCCATCTGAGGAATGGAAATAATGACAGTGGCTAATTTCACAGCAGTGTTATGCACTTAAATGATATAATGAAGTGCAGAGCTCATAAGGGTCCATGAATGTTAGTTCTTAGATTAGGCGCCAACTGCCAGCTACGTAATTTTAGACAAATGCTCCAAATACACTTTTGTCTACTATATGAAGGTTTCCTCTTGTACAGTAAAATGTGGAATGGAGTCAGGAGTGGATGGTGCTGGCCAGGAGTCCATTCATCACCTCCAGCTGTAGCCATTTTAAGCTTCTCTGCTTTGTCATGCTCCCTACAACCTTCACTCCATTCAATCTACAAACACTTCCCAGAATTCTTTTTGAAAGAGAGAGAATGAAGACAAAATATACAAATACAGGACTAAAAAGTTACAAACTTTCAACTAGGAAAAACACTTGGGAATTGAAACAACTACATTTTTAAAAAATTCTCTATTTTTAATTGTGTTAAGAAGGTGAAGCCTGAGTTTGCATAAACCCCAGTCTCTAATATTAGGATCATTAGCTCAAGTGCAGAAAGGGAATGTGGAAGAAGAACCCTCACTCAAGGGGTGAGAGACGGGCTCACCAGGAAAGTCAGGCTGCAACTTCACATAGTAACTCATTGGCTTTCTTATGCTTCTGTGTGAAGAAGGGTATCAGCTTCCAGATTTGTCCATATGGAAACGAAGTCTACCCTTCTGAAATGAAGACAGCTCCCTATTTAAACTAGGCAAACTCAGAGACTTCCACTCCAGTTTCTCACCACCTTTTACTTTTTTTTTTTTTGGAGACAGTCTCTGCAGCCCAGGCTGGGGAGCAGTGGTGTGATCTTGGCTCACTGCAATCTCCGCCTCCCAGATTCAAGTGATTCTCCTGCCTCAGCTACCCAAGTAACTGGGATTATAGGTGCGTGCCACCACACCTGGCTAATTTTTGTATTTTTAGTAGAGGCAGGGTATCATCATGTTGGCCAGGTTGGTATCAAACTCCTGACCTGAAGTGATCCACCCGCCTTGGCCTCCCAAAGTGCCGGGATTACGGGCATGAGCCACTTTGTATCTGGCCCTTTTACTCTCTTTTAAAGGGGCAGCATTATAAAAATCGGTGTCATCATCAGTATTTAATGGACACCTCTATGCACATACAGGTCAGGCCATATCCTGGTAGCAGTGAGAGCACACGCACACACACACTGGGAACTTGTAAAACTGTATATTCAGGAGCTGGGGGAAGGAGAGACCCTTGTAGATACACAGGGAAGCTTCACCCTATGTATCTACAAGGATACCTCAAGTATCCTTGTGGATATGCTAGATATCTATAACTGGGCCTTGGCTGATTCATAATCATATTATTTTTGTAGAATAGGTAATGTTTTAATAAAGCTGCTGAAGAAAGCTGAGTCATGTCAGACACCAACACTGCAGGCCATGCGGTAACATTAGCAGTCTATGCCTCTCATTGCAACAGAAAGGGAGAAAATACACATCAGCATTTATAAGTTGAACTATAGGAATAGGCAAACTGGCAGGAAGTGAACTGGTCAATGACTCAACGCAATTCACGCTGAGAATCCTGAAAAGCGCTGTGTATGCCAGCTCCCTGACCTGGGTGCTGACCTGCTCTCAAGACAGCCCACAGTCAGGATGCCCGTCCACGCTCTGATTACTGCAGGCCAAAGGTAACAGAAATACAACATTTTACTCCATAAAACTGGGGTGAAGCTTGAGGAGTGTCCTGCTAATAATTTCACCTCCGTTGCCATAAGACACAAGAGCAGTAATTAGTGGATTCAATGGCTACTCCATTTTCAAATCATTCAGGATCTAAATGACAGAAATATAAGAGTTCTGTCCAGGGAAAAAATGTCCTTGATTGCTGTAATTAACTCCTTTAATGATGTTGTACCATCTTCAACAACAGTTCTCTCCTCAGACCTACTTAATTAGAATTACTAGGGCTGGGCCCTGGGAACCTGAATTATTAAGAGGGTTTCCCAATGGCATCAGATGATCAGCCAGCTTGGGAACCAGCCAGTCAGGAAGCTGTTTCTTCCTGTAACTCATTCTAGTCCCCTACCCCTTCCTCCCACATATATACTCAGGACACTATCTGAAGCCCAATCCTAGGGCAAGTGAGAAGGAAAAGGGATTGTTCACAGGCTGATTTCAGAGTTTCAATAAGAAAACAAAGCAAGCTATAATTTGATTTTTCGTTTTTCCTTTTTGTGTGAGGTTTTTGTTTACCTAGAAAAATCAAGCAGACTTTATTAAAGGGGCAGAACAGGAAGGAATGGCAAGAGAACACAGTTACTGAGGAGACAGGACTGTTAGAATATTTGTTTGTAGAGAAACCTGACACTACAGTACAAAGTTGTTCCTGCCTTTCCAATTTTAATTGGAACGCATGAGCACGAAGCATCCGCCTGGAGAAAGAACCAATAATCACACCCGTAGTGCTGCACAGTCCCAAAGGCTGAGTGCTCTCTCTTAAGAGGTCAGAGGTGCCCCCTATAGCCCTGGCTGGCTGCGTCATCAGGGGCAAGGTTTCAAACTTCTCTGGGTCCCCAATTTTTTCATAAAGTGAAAGTGGTGAACAAAAAGACCTTGAGAGTACCTTCTGGCTTAAAATACTTCTATACTTAGAGCCTTCCTCCTCAAGTATAACAAAACCCGTAATATCATCATCAATTCAAAGGAACACAAGCGTTTTGTACTTTCTTCCTGCAAATTGCTTCCTCACATCCAAAGAGAATGATGAAGGTGAAAATGGAGCCCACACACACGCCATAACCCTCAACAGCTTTGCCTAAAAATATTCTGTAACACATGTCATAGTTGAGTGAAGCTGAGGCAGTCTAAGCTAATAACCTAGCACTGGCCACATCCTTATACCTTTGCTCCTGAGAGCCAAGCAGCAGAGACCAGACATTTAGAGCAGGGGCCAGCAAAGTGGTGGGCTGGGATACAGTCTAGAAGTCCCTGGGCCACTGAGACGTGTCTGACAGGAGAGCTAAGATTATCAGGGGCTAGTACAATTGCAGGAGGATGTAGTAGATTCCACATGCCTACGAGGCAGCATTCAATTCTGAGGACTGGATATGACATACCTGACTCTGAGACATGCTTTCAACCTGGTCTTCCTGATCCCTCTGACACACAGAGGCCGGCTCTACAAGGATGCTCATACCTCTGAGAGGTCAGCCTAAGTTCTGAGCAACCCCAGGCAGAGACTCTTACCTGGAAGCGCAGGATGATGGTCCAGATGAGGCCAAGGGTCAGCCGGTGGTTTCCATCCACGATGTCATGGGATCCCATGTTCTCAAGATGGACTCTCTGCTCCTTCAGGAACTGAAGGGCCTTGTCCACATTCTCTAGGCAGTGGATGCGCATTCGTCCTTTGGTGGGTTTAGGCTAGAAACAGGAGAGCAGAGGCAGAGACACATCACTCAACAGAGCAGAGATGAACCCCGAGTTACTGCCTAGTCACACGTGCCCATTCATGCGATGCTCTCCTGCTCGGAGCAGAACATTAACAAACACGTGTACTCATTAAGTCCAAGGACAGTATTTACCTAACAGCCACAGAAGAAAAGTTTACTTAACGGGATGGTAACTGATTTCTCTTTAGAGATTAATTGTGGAGCTATATAGTTTACAAATGAGCATTTGTTTAAGTTCAGGGAAGAGAGAATCCAATTTTCATGAAGAATTTCAGTGCTACTGCCGCCATCCATACAATTTTTTTGCAGCTGCATGACAAACACCTGTGAGGATTTTGATTACTTGGAATGTAAAAATAGGTTTGCCACCTGCTGGCAACCCTTAAGGTTGGCTCAAAATGAAAACAGGGAACACAACCATCAAATCAGAAGAATTTCCAAGTGGTGGTTGTGTGCGGAGGGATGGGGAAGGTTAAGTAAAAAGGTGTAACTTACAGAAAAGAAGGGGAAAAGGGGAAAAAATGAGTGTAGTGCAATTTAAATACCCCAAATGTTCCTTTCCTTTTACCCAGTTTTATCAAAATATAAAAGAGGCCTTTGGAAGGTGAACATTTTAAATAAAACAAATGAACAAAAAAAAATACATAGAGAGAGAGTAGATAATGCCTATGTATATATATACATCTACTATAAAATATACTATCTACTGGCCGGGCGCGGTGGCTCAAGACTGTAATCCCAGCACTTTGGGAGGCCGAGACGGGCGGATCACGAGGTCAGGAGATCGAGACCATCCTGGCTAACAGGGTGAAACCCCGTCTCTACTAAAAAATACAAAAAGCTAGCCGGGCGACGTGGCGGGCGCCTGTAGTCCCAGCTACTCGGGAGGCTGAGGCAGGAGAATGGCGTAAACCCGGGAGGCGGAGCTTGCAGTGAGCTGAGATCTGGCCACTGCACTCCAGCCCGGGGACAGAGCAAGACTCCGTCTCAAAAAAAAAAAAAAAAAAAAAAAAAAAAAATATATATATATATATATACTATCTACTATAAAAGTATATATACATCTACCGTAAAAGTACATACACATCTACTATAAAAATGTACTAGATACACACACACAGTTGACCTTTAGTTGGACCTAAACTGTGCAAATGCACTTATACATGGATTCTTTCCAATAAATACACTGGAAATTTTTTTTCGAGATTTGTGACAATTTGAAAAGACTCAGATGAATGGCCTAGCCTAGAAATATCAGAAAAAATTAAGAACAAGGTATGTCATGAATGCATAAAATATATGTAGATGGTAGTCTATTTTATCATTTACTACCACAAAATATATACAAATCTGTCATAAAATTAAAAATTATCAAAACTCATACACACAAATACAGATTGTAACGGCACCATTTGTGTAGTACTAAATCTTGGTATATACTGTACTACTATAATAATTTCAGAGCCATCTCTAACTCCTACTGCAATGAGCTCAAGTATTGTGAGTGCCCACTTAAAATGCCTATGATGCTAATCATCTCCACATGGTCTCTCTAGTAAATTGGGTATCACAGTAAAAGTTCTTGTGTATTTTTCACAGTGTCTAGTGCAATACTGTAAACCTTGACTAATATCATGAGACCCAAAGTGCCACTAGTGAAGCTGGAAGTACTCTCAAGAAGCAGAGAACAAGTCATGACACTACAAGAAAAGGATGAACTGCTTGCTATGTGTTGTAGATTGAGGTCCAGTTGTGGTGGCCCACCATTTGAAGACTAAAAAAAGAAAAGAAAATTTGTGAAGCCATCCCTGAAGCTACATCAGCAGATGCAAAGACCTTGCACTTTTTTGTGAAATATCTTTTTATCTCATATTGAAAATGCAGCTTTTGGCTGGGTGCAGCAGTTCATGCCTGTAATCCCAGCACTTTGGGAGGCTGAGACGGGCAGACTGCTTGTGCCCAGGAGTTTGAGACCAGCCTGGGCAACATGGCAAAACCCGTCTCTACAAAAAAATAAACAAATAAATAAATAATTAACAATGCATCTTTTATGTGAATACAGGATTGCCATAAGAGAGGCATACCTAAAGACTAATATGATTTGAGAAAAAGTGAAGTTATCATATGACAATTTAAAGGCATACGAAGGTGAAGGAGAATGTAACACCAGCAAAGGATGGTATGACTATTAATTTTTAATTGGGTAGCCCTCAGAACCAGGAAAGATTCACAGAGCTCCCAGTCTGACAATTTCAGAAAGAGGTTTGGCTTAAAAAATGTCAAGGAGTTGGGAGAAGCAGCTTTTGCTGACCAAGAGGCAGCAGATGAGTTCCCAGGCACCATTAAGAAAATCATTGAGGAAAAAGTGTATCTGTCTCAACAAATTTTTAACACAGATTAAAGAGCCCTGTTCTGGAACAAAATGCCACAAAAGCCTAGTAAGAGAAAGAGAGGTGGAGTACCAGGACTTAAGGTAGAAAGGGATAGGCTAACTACTGTTCTGTGCAAATGCAGTTGGGTTTATAATCAGGACTGCCCTTATCCATAAAGCTGTTAACCTTTGAGCCTTGAAGGGAAAAAATAAATACCAGCTGCCAGTCTTTTGGTTGTACAGAAAGAAGGCCTGGACAGTGACAACTGTTTTTCTGAATTGGTTCTACTGATGCTTTGGTTCCTGAAGTCTCCAAGTACCTTGCCAATAAGAGGATGCCTTTTAAAGTCATTTTGGTATTAGACAATGCCCCCACCCAGAACCCCATGAGTTCAACACTGAAGGCACTGACATGGTCTCCTGGCTCCCAAACACAACATCCCTAATTCGGCCTCTAGATCAAGGGGTCATAAGGACTTGTAAGGCTCATTACTACACAAAACTCTATGGAAAGGTTTGTCGATGCTATGGAATAGAATCCCCAACAGAGAGAACATCATGAAAGTCTGGGAGGACTACACCACTGAAGATGCCGTCATCGTTATAGAAAAAGCTGTGAAAGCCATCAAGTCTGAAACAATAAATTCCTGCTGGAGAAAATGATGTCCAGATGCTATACATCATTTCACAGAATTTAGGACAGAGCCAATGAAGGAAATTATGAAAGAGGTTGTGGATATGGCAAAAAGGTAGAAGGGTGAAGGTTTTCATGATATGGATCTTGGAGAAATACAAGAGCTAACAGACACCACATCAGAAGAATTAATGGAAGATGACCTGATGAAAATGAGTGCCTCCAAAAAGATGACAAATGATGAGGAAGAGGATGTAAAAGCAGTACCAGAAAACAAACTGAATTTGTTGCAAGGGTTCCAATCATTCAAGACTGCTTGTGTTATTTCCATAAAGTTACATCAAGTATGCCCGCCTCTTCTGCCTCCCCTTCTGCCTCTTCCACTTCTACTACCCCAAGACCAACACCCCCACCTTCCTCCTCAGCCTACTCAATGTGAAGATGAGGATGAAGACATTATGATGATCCACTTCCACTTAATGAATCAGCAAATATATTTTCTCTTCCTTTGCTTAGTAATATTTTCTTTTCCCTAGCTTACTTTAAGACTACAGTAATGTAATATACACAACATGAAAAATATGTTAATTGACTGTTTATGTTATTGATAAGAGTAGGCTATTAAAAGTTTTGGGGGAATCAAATGTATAGGAAGATTTTCAATAGCATAGGGTTGGTGCCCCTAAACCCCCTGCTTTGTTCAAGGGTCCACGGTGTGTCTCTCTCTCTCTCACACACACACACACACACACACACACACACACACACACACACACACAATGGGTTTCTATTATCTGTTGTACCAACACCAAGCTCGTGCCCTCACCCATCTAGCTCCATCCTTCTCTCCTTCCTATTTCCCATCACTCCGCCTCTAGTAGAGGCTGCATCTGGAGTCGATGTCACCATCTTATAAAGATGCCAGCAGGATGCACACATCCACATGTAGAATAATGCACTCAGCCTGTGACCCGTCGTCCTGACTCCCCAGTCTCTTCACCTTATCACACCTATCTACCTTCCAAGGCTCAGGCCAAGGCCCATCTTTCCTTCCTGGAGATATTTCCATTTCCAATCATTCTGGGTCTCACAGCTCTCCTTTTCCTCACAACTCTACAACTAACAATCGGACCACAGAACCCCGGAACCAATCATTATAATTTTGCTATCGTTTCATTTATCACTCTTATTACTTCCAACTAGACTGTTCCCTTCCTAAGTGCAAGGATGAGGCTTTATACTTCTATATTCTCAGGGGTCTTTGGTCCGGTTCTGTGCACAGAATTATGTGCAGAGTGAACTGAATGCCAGCAGACAGACTGGGCTTGGTGTGTGCTAAGCTGACTTCACAGGGGAAAAAGGGCCAGGCGGCAGCAACCCAGGTACATGCAGTTAAGGCCAGCAGCCAGCCCTAACTTAGTATCTTGTCCATTCCCTGCTTTTCCCTTGGGTAGTTAAGATCCTCAGCTATGTGCTGCATGGAAAACGTCTGAAAGGAAGGTTACTTGGGTAACAAGTGGCCATTTTAAGTCTGTCCAGTCTCAGATTATTATTTTTTACTTTCTTTTCTCCTATAAAAGAGGACAAGCAAAACCAGAAGAATGTGGTTGGCCTTGAGGAAATAAGATTATATGCAGAGGCCTACCACAAGTAGTAAAATTTTATTTTCAATATAATTGTCCCTTGGTATCCACAGGGGATTGATTCCAGGTACCCCAAGGATACCAAAATCCATAGATGCTCAAGTCGCTTATCTAAAATGGCACAGTATTTGATATAACCTATGCACATCCTCCCATATACTTTTTAAAAAATTCACTAATTATTTTTTTTTGAGACAGAGTCTCGCTCTGTCACCCAGGCTAGAGTGCAATGGCATGATCTTGGCTCACTGCAATCTCTGCCTCCTGGGTTCAAGAGATTCTCCTGCCTCAGCCTCCTGAGTAGCTGGGATTACAGGCACCCG